GGAATCAGGCATCATTGCCAACCCATCCCAGGTCATCAGCAACAGGCACAACATGTGCATCACAATGAGCGATCAAGTCCCTGTATGGGCCAAAGCTGCATACCAAGATGATATTCAGTGAGCAGGAGCTGACAGGAATGAGGTATGATGACAAGGTGAATTTCAAAGAAATCAGAAAGGAGATTGAGTCAGCCCAGCAGGTGATGAAGATGAGACAGGAGCAAGTGATAACATCAGCTGAGGGAGAGGGAAAAGATGATAAGCAGGAATGAAGCTGTCTCATCACAACCCTCATGAGGAGAAGTTTAGAATCACATATGAAGCCAGACAAAAGATCTATGGGCTGGTGGATGGAGAATTGACAGGTGAGGTGGCATGTGGGCTATTAGTATTTGCAGGACCACATCAGCGCCTTAGCAATCTGGATAAAGATGGAAAGTATAAAGAAGATGATGAGTTTGAGGTGGGGGGAACCACCATCATTCACAGCAAAGGACATCAGTGCAGATCAATGAAATCAATTGTCAATCTTCGCAATGAGGAGCCAGAGTTGTTTAGCAAGACCATCATCATGTCCCAACCCAGTGGCAATGTGGATGGAGTTCTGATGAAGTGGATTGCCATGGAGCAAGGAGAGAAGGAAGTATGTGGCATCAACATCAAGGACTCATTCAGTGCAAATTTTGCAGATGCAACAATGCAAGCAGAGCACATCCTGAATCAGGCACCTGCATACATTTTGGGCCACATGACAGCACAACTTCAGGTTACAGACACTGATTGCAGCAGAGCATGGAAAAGATATTTCACCCATGAGCTGGATAGGATGAGGGTCCAATTCAAGAGGAAGCATGGATCAGACCAGGGCTTCAGCATTGGATATCCAGAGATCATCAGGGCTTCAATAGCTAGTCAGGATTATATGGCAGTCCTCAATGAGAAGACCAACTGGGTAGTATCAGGTGCCAAGAGGAATGGTTTGATTGCCTACCAGATCAAGGAAGGAAAGATGGTCCCAATCAAAGGTGAGATGGGCACCAGCAGGATCCCAGCAGATTGGTGGGAGCATAGGCACTCATGGTTGGATGAATCAGGGAGGCCATTGACTCCTGACTTTTCCATCAGCAACGATGCAGCAGCCATCACTGACTTGATAGAATGGTCCAACTGCCATCCTGAACCTGATCAAGAAGGAGATGATCAGACAGATGAGCACCAGAAGAAGAAGGAAGGACAGGATCCTGTGAAGGATGAGAAGCTAGATGGACATTGTGCATGAGCTCAATGAAGAGATGATACTGCCCATGCAGAACTCCCTATTCCTCAGGATGAGCCCCAAGTTGAGGAGGCAGTTCTACAGGAGAGGAATGCTTGAGTCGACATGGGCCACCATCATGAAAGACCATGAGAAAGCAAGGATTAAACCAGTGCACAGATCCTTGATCAGGATATCAGCCAGGAAGCATATGAGCAAAAAGCTATTAGACAGCATGAGCAAAAAAGAGGCACTGGAACAGATTGTGGCCAAGAGCACAAATAAGAAGAGGATTGGCAAGGTATTGCTGAAGAGCTCAATGCTAGCAAAAATGAAGAAGAAGAAGCTTAGCATTGCAAGCAAGCCATCAGCAAGCTCAAAGCCAAGCATGATAGCAAAGCCATCAGTGAAGAAGAAGGCAGATAAGAAGGCAGTGATGAAGAAGGAGGCTGAGAAGTCAAGCAAATTGGAGTTCAAGGCTATGAAGAAGGACATCCCAGCAAAGAAAAGTGATGATGCAATTGGTGATGAGCTCCATGATTGGATTGGGAAGGGTGTGAGAGTGGTATCAGAAAAGGCAGGCCCCTTGAAGTATGGAAGATCAGGGAGTGTGTCCAATGTCAAGGATGGCACAGCAAGCATCATGACAGAGAAGGGTGTCATTAGCACACAGATGGAGTTCCTGATGCTGGAAGATGCAACATGGAAGAAACCCAGAGCATACAGGACCTTTCAGTATATCACAAGGGCATCATTGCAAAGCATGCTGCAAGCAATAGAGCCATTTGTTGATACAACATACCCCTTGCTTGGGATAGATGCAGACACATACCTGGAAGATCAGCACATTGTATTGGCATGGGCATGGATGCAGTGGCAATTGAACATTCCTGCAGTGCTTGGATCCAGCATTGATGGGAAAGCTGACTGTGAACATGACTGAGATGGATGAGGCTGGCTATGAGTTGGTCAAGGGGCAAATCCTGGACTGTGCATCAGGTGTTGATACTTTGTGCGTCCCAATCCCTGCCCATGGAGCGCCCAAGCATTGGACCCTATTGGTGAAGAAAGGGGATCAGTGGCATTACTATGACACCTTGGAAGGTGGACATCCTGAATGCCTGAAGTATGCCCATGAGATTGTGAAGCTGTTTGAAGGAGAGAATGCAGCAAATATCAAACTGGAATGCAGGAACCATGTTCGCCAGAAAGGAGCTGATTGTGGATATTTTGTCATTGCATACATGGAGATTGAGGCATGCACCCATGTTGAAGGCCCAGCATCTAGGGGATGGCCAATGGCAATCAAGGAGGAATGGCAGATCAGAATGCAGAAGATGAAGAAGGTATTGAGCACAGAATCCAGCAAGCTACATCAGCATATGCAGGACATTGAGAAGAAAGCATACAATCTGAAGAAGAAGCAGGATGATGCATATGCAGCAGCCAATGAGAAATTGAACAAATTGAAGGACATGAAGTGTCATTCAGCATTAGTAGCAATGCAGGCAATGAATGAGAACAGCAAGTTCTTCAGGGCATCAGATTTGAGCCATGAGGCAAGCATGGAGATCAGGATGGCTGAGACAAGATTAGCACCATGCAGCAAATGCAGATTTCAGACTGGATGCCTGAGGTGCATTGCCATGAAGGCATTTGCCTACTGGATGAAGAAGGAGGCATTCCTCGCGAATAAGGTGCCCAAGATTGAAGGACCAGGGCTGAAAGGGATTGTGGTGGTGGTAGTGGTGGTGGTGGTGGTATGGTGGTGGTGGTGGTGGTGGTCATTTGCTAGTGCTGCTCTTGGAGGATGGGGGGAGGGAGAGGGAGGGAGATGAGCATTGAGAGTGATTATTGACCTTGAATAAACATTGATTGAGTGCCAAAAGCATGCAAATCCTATGGCAAATCAGTTTTCCCTGGCATGATCCCTGGATAAATTCACTATGAAACCATGCAAATTCCATGGGGGATGAGGGTTGGGAGCACTGACCCTGAATAAAGATTAGATGCCAGAAGCATGCAAATCCCATGGTAAATCAGGTTTCCCTGGCATGATCCCTGGATAAATTCACTATGAAACCATGCAAATTCCATGGGGGATGAGGGTTGGGAGCACTGACCCGGAATAAAGATTAGATGCCAGAAGCATGCAAATCCCATGGTAAATCAGGTTTCCCTGGCATGATCCCTGGATAAATTCACTATGAAACCATGCAAATTCCATGGGGGATGAGGGTTGGGAGCACTGACCCTGAATAAAGATTAGATGCCAGAAGCATGCAAATCCCAAGGTAAATCAGGTTTCCCTGGCATGATCCCTGGATAAATTCACTATGAAACCATGCAAATTCCATGGGGGATGAGGGTTGGGAGCACTGACCCTGAATAAAGATTGGATGCCAGAAGCATGCAAATCCCATGGTAAATCAGGTTTCCCTAACCATGCAAATTCCATGGGGGATGAGGGTTGGGAGCACTGACCCTGAATAAAGATTGGATGCCAGAAGCATGCAAACCCCATGGTAAATTCGGTTTCCTGGCATGATCCCTGGATAAATTCACTATGAAACCATGCAAATTCCATGGGGGATGAGGGTTGGGAGCACTGACCCTGAATAAAGATTAGATGCCAGAAGCATGCAAATCGCATGGTAAATCAGGTTTCCCTGGCATGATCCATGGATAAATTCACTATGAAACCATGCAAATTCCATGGGGGATGAGTGGTGGGTGGGCGGACCCTGGAAAAAAAAAAAATAAAAAAATAGATTAGATCCAGAAGCATGCAATCCATGGTAAAGCAGGGCATGACCCTGGAAAAAGGCACTATGAAATCCATGCAAATGCCCAGGGGGATGAAGGTTGGGACACTGACCCTAAAAAGATTAGATCCAGAAGCCGGCAAATCGCATGGTAAATCAGGGTTTCCCTGGCATGATCCTTGATAAATTCACTATGAAGTTCCATGCAATGCCCAGGGGGATTTTGATGTTTTGAGCACGGACCCGAATAAAGATTCCCATGGTAATTCCTGGCATGATCCCTGGACAAATTCACTATGAAACCATGCAAATCCCATGGGGGATGAGGGTTGGGAGCACTGACCCTGAATAAAGATTAGATGCCAGAAGCATGCAAAACCCATGGTAAATCAGGTTTCCCTGGCATGATCCCTGGATAAATTCACTATGAAACCATGCAAATTCCATGGGGGATGAGGGTTGGGAGCACTGACCCTGAATAAAAATCTTCATTTTGCATGGATCCCAATGGGAATTCTATGTTCTTTTGTGAGCTTGGGAACTCAGGATTCATTCACTCTTGTGGGGGGAAGGTTATTTGTTTGAATTACTTTATATTATTGTTCATTTTTTTCATATTTTTTCCCCTGGGAAAAAACGGTTAGCATTATTCATGGTATATTTATTATTTTTTTGAAATCGGTTAGCATTATTCATGGTCTATCTACTAATCGTAGGTCAACATTATGCCGCCGCCCCGTCCCACAATTGCTTGACATGATCTATCTATCTGAACAGACCTCCAAGAGTGCATGAACCTACCGCTGGCGGCATTGCGACAACAATCCTATCTTGGCCGCCGCTTGTCTCCTGCCCACTCCAACTATGCACACGAAGGCTGCTGCTTAACGAGGGCAGTCGAACTTTGCAAGCCGCCATCTGATCTTGTGCGCCGTTGCGGGCCGAGAAAGTTAGTAAAACGCGCTTCTGGCGCTCCTGGCGATCATGAGCAGTGGCGGCGAGAAGGCAGCACCTCGTGCCCATCTGGGCAACTGTGATCATGGAGGCTTCATGACTCAAAAGCTGACCAATGGAGGCAGGCAAGGCCAAACATCACATACACACATCACACACACACGCGCAAACAAACAAACCAACAAACAAAACAACCAACAAACACAGCAACCAAACAACCAAGCAGCCAAGCAACCAAGCAACCAAGCAGCCAAAAAACCAACAAACAATCAAACAAATAAACAAGCAAACAAACCAAAAATTGCAACTAACCAACAAACATCCAGGCAACAAACAACCATACACCCACACAAACAACAAAACCGGCAACCAACAAACGATACATCCCTGCCGCAATTACACAGGTGTCAGGCAGATCCGGTTTTGTCGAGACAGGCCACTAGTCAAGACAATCCCAGGCGGGAGGGCGGGAGAAAACTCGTCTGAAACCCTGACTTGAGGCACGCGCTAGCAAGCTACCGGGAAGTTCGGTTTGAGTCTGTTGCTCATACTTGACGTTGATGGTTTCCCAGCTGTTAAAGTCAGCATCATAAGTTGCTGCGATAAGCTTGAAGCCTTTGGGTTAAAGTGAGATATGTTTTGTGGATCTGGCAGCTCTTCATCCTGAGCCGGCTCAGCTCTCCTTCAACCCTGTCAAGTATCCCAATTGCAGAAGTCTCAAAAATTTTCATACACCCGCCCTTGTAAGTGGATGGCGATGGCAGCCTAAGTCTGCCAGCCATGTCCCCAGCGTCATCTCCATGGCTCAAACCCTAAGGTTTTTCAAATGCTCTGGAAAGTTCTGAGCCCCGCCACCATGAAACATTACAAGGACTCTCTCTCAAGTCACACCAAACACAAACCGAAGTATGTGAAGTGGCGCAGCAGCTTTTCTCTAGTGCAAGTCTTGAGCCACCAAAGTGGCAGTTGCACCATGACATAGGCATGGGGAAAAGTGCATAGCTGCACAAAAAAGAACAAACAACCAAACAAGCAAACAATGAATAAGCAAACAAGCAAAACACACACACAAACAAAGCAGAAGCAAACAAACAACCAACCAACCAAACACAAAAAAACAGCAAACAAACAAACAAACAAGCAAGCAAACAAACAAACAACTAAACCAAGTAAAGAAACAAACACACAAAGGCACAAACAAAAACACAAACACAGACACAGACACACACACAATCACCGAAACAAACAACAAACAAACAACCAAACCAAGCAAAGAAATGAACAACAAACAAACAACGAAACAAACAACGAAACAAACAGACAATAAAAGAAACAACCAACCAAACCAAGCAAAGAACAAACACGCAAAGACACAAACAACGAAACAACCCAATTGAACAAACCAAAAACAATTAAACCTGCAAACAAACAAACATACAAAGAAACAAGCAACCAAACCAAGCAATTAAACAAACACACAAACACACAAACACATAAACAAACAAACAAACAAACAAACAAAACAAAACAACAAACAAACAAACAAACAAACAAACAAACAAACAAACAAACAAACAAACAAACAAAAAAACAAACAAACAAACAAACAAACAAACAAACAAACAAACAAACAAACAAACACACAAACAAACGAACGAACGAACGAACAAACAAACGAAACAACAAACAAACAAAGACCTAAACGCATTTTCGGACTGGCCAACACCTTTTTGGGCGGTTCTGTGAGCGTTTTGAGCATAAGGCCAATGAAGCTCACCAGCCGCGGGTGCCTGAGCTCTTTCAGGTTTGTGACCTGGCCATCGGACGGCACGTCGAAGCGCCCACGGCCCTGTTGCCAGCTATGCTTGCAGTGTGCCCTTCACCTTGCTTGTGGCATAGCGGTGCGGGGAATAAGAAATGGAATGAGCCCAAGAAAAGCCATTGGTGGTTTCCTTTAAGGGGACCAAAGCCTGGGTTCATTCCCTCATTCCCTGAGCACCAGCAAGTTATGTACCCATGTAGTTTGGCCTTTGTGTAGAGGGGCACCTCAATTGGTAAGTGGTTGACTTTTGGTCTGAGCGTAGTTGACAAGAGGTTGACAACTGTTGCGCTGGCGCAAGCGCCTCTTTTTGGAACTCCTGCAGCTGCTCCTTTGAGACCTGGTGACGAACCTACACAAAATCCGGTTGTCCTTTCTGGGGGGGGGGAAGGCTCGTGCCTGAAAGGTAGGCTGGCCATGTGGGTAAGGGTTCTAGAGAACAACAGGAACCCTTCAAAAGCGAGCGTGTAGTCTGGCCCCGCTTGCCACATGCAAGATGCATGTAGAAAAGGACATTAAGTCACAACCACGGGGACCGGTCGGAAAGTCTATGGCCTGGCCATCTATGAGGTGCAGCTTCTTCACTGCCACCTGCACCAAATCCCAGTGATCGAACTGCTGCTGATTGGAGACCCGTGGCATTTCAAGGGTTCAGCCGGTGCACGAAATGTGACGTTGTAATTTCAGATGAGCTTGGTGCTCATCTCAGTTGCCCAAAGGACCCAGAAATAGAAGTTAACCTTGCGCAAGTGAGTCATGGAAACCTGTATCCCTTCGAATTGTCCGAGTTCATTTGCTCGTGCCCTTACCCGACTAAGCCTCCAAAACGCCGGGAGGCCTCCTGGCCCAAGTAATTGCCGCGGTACACGGCGCCAAAGCCACCAGAACCCAGCACCTGCCGTGCATTCGTGACTCAACACATCCTGTACTTGACTACTTGATACATCTGTAAATACTGTTTTTTCATTAGTGTTATTGTTGTTATTATTGTTTTTGTTATTGACAACATGTTAAGTACTACTATGATTATATATATAACATCTATCTGTCAATTGACCCCCCCACACAAAGAAAAAAGAAAGATAAAAAAAAAGGAAGAAACAAAATATGGGCTGCATCATACCGCCCGGCTACGTTTTGTCTTCAAATGTTGACAGCCGCAACATTCGCGGCAACAATCACAACAGAAGCATGTGGGACATTGGGTGCAACCAACTGAGCGATTGAACGGCAGCTGTATGCTGGGGTGCTGGGGTGCTGGGGTGCTGGGGTGCTGTGACGTTTCATCTTGCAATCATACTGCTAAAGGCAGGCTCCGTCAAACAAAAAGGGCTCTGCTTTGGCCTTCTCCTCACAGAAGCCGTGTCATTTGCGTACCAAGCACAGAAAAATACCCCCCCCCCCCCTCACACACAAAAAAAAGAAGGAACAAAAAAACGAAGCAAACGGCCCTTTGAAGGGCTTTCCAGCCCACACGCCTTGCCAAGCTGAAGGTCCTCTGCGTTCAGGAGCAGCTTCCTAGGCTCCTCCTGCACCACCTGACGGTGGAGCAGAGTTCCACCCACATCACCTGACACAAATACAAATTCTGGCCTCATTACTTTATCATGATGAAAGTCGCCCCCTCAGTGAGGCAGGGGGATCATTTTCGAACACCGATTTCGGCTCATTGTCGAACACATGCAACGGGATCATAAGAGATGGGTTAAAGGGAAACAACCCCATTTTCTAGAAACGTTCAAAACATAACCCCAGAACATGTACACGCAAAAAAACTCTTGTGCAGTCCGGAAACAACAACCCTCACTTCATTGCTTTCTGCGCTATTGCAACGAAGCTTCCAAGGTAGCATCTTGCACAAAGACTTTGCGGATGCAACTTTCAACAGTGCTTGCGGCGGGCACAACTCTCAACGCCGGACAAAGCATGCTAGACGTGTCGGAGTTGGAACGTCTACTTGAAAGCAAAGGGAGTGATGCTTGTCTGAAAATCCCCACCCGGCAAGTGCTCGGTGTTTGCCTATCGGCCCCCAGCCGGCTCGCAACTATCCAAGGTTCCATTCCTGAAAAAAACAATTGGGTGTATGTTCTAAACAAGTAAAGGTTTCAAGGGCAAACGCCCGCCATGCAAAGCTCCGGGGTCGAGCAGTACGGGCCCAGCCTTCTTGGCGACCGGCGATCGCGGCTCGGCCCTAAGCTGCACTTCACGAAGCAAAAGTCCTTTGAACAGGCTTGGTCAAAGCCCTGCCCCCACTGGGGTGCCAAGACTGTGGCGGTAACGTTCTGGGTGGCGTGGTGCTTCTTGGCGGCGTGGTGCTTCTGGGCGGCGTGGTGCTTCTGGGTGGCGTGGTGCTTCTGGGTGTCTGGTTTTTCGCCCGGTCTGGGTCGATGCCCTGGCCGACTGAGCTTCGAAGAGTGTCAGTGGCAATGTGCCCCCCCGCTGAACTTCCGCAAATATGTCTGAACGCGTGCACTCAAACTGGCTGCAAATGACCAACTCAAACGATTGAGTTCGTGCCTTCGCCTGCACCTCCGCAACCTGGCAATGCGCCATGCAGTGAACCAAAACACTCTCTGGCTGCGAGCCGTACCAGCTCACGGTCAAGAAATGTTCTGCAAGTCTACAACCTCAACCGCCAACAGCTCATCCAATTTGTCTTGTCAGCATAAGTTTGCTCCTTGCCTGCGCAGCCTTCTTGGACCTGACACCGACGAGCTCTTGAGACTTTACAATTGTTTTTCCAGTGTTACGCCATCGCTCCCAGCTCACACCGCTTGCATCGAGCTCAAGGTGGACAACACTTGAAGCCTTGAGGCTGGGTTTCTACACTAAGGGGGCTGCTTGTCTATCCCACAAACAGTGGAAAAGGCCCAAAGGCTTTGAGAAGATCCACTTGGAGTAAGATTACCATGTATTGTTGGATGGTATTCACGATTGACAGCACCTGCCCTCCTCTCCATGTACAAAGTTTTGGTTGTACGATCTTCATGAACACTTCCCAAACAGATAGGGCGGAACTTGTTATGGGCCAGTGATTTTGTTGTGGACTTTGGCAATGAACTCAGCCGCTAGCATCGGTCTCAAGTTCTCAGAGTTGCGCAGCAGGAGCTTCTCGCAAGCCCTCAAGCGTCGCATGCGGTCAATGTCACATGCAAACATGAGCTTACCCAAGCAAACTCCAAAAAAAAGAAGCACTTCGCAATACAGCCATCTTTTATGTGAAGTGACTCGACCAAAACAAGGTTTGCACTCAGAAGCCTTAAAGCTCGGAATGCCTGTTGACAAGCAAAGCAATTGTCTGAGCACTCAGCCCATCACCGACCTGATGTGCTGGTATGTTGTTTTTCATAGGCATTTGTGCTGCACAAAATCATCCAGCTGAGAATCGATCCCGCCACAATCGTCACAAAAATGAACAAATGCAGCGCTAGGTCTGCGCGATTTGGCTTCTCTGAACTGGGTGCGCTGCAGTGTACTGCACCTTCACCGTGTCCGGGTTAGCCTGTCTGGCTGTGCTCTTCTCTCGCCTTCATGTCCTTCTTTGAGGCATTATCAGCATGTGTTCTCTATTGTTGAGATCCCAGAAACCGTCTGAGCGGAGACCACTTCAATTGGGCTCAGAACGTTTGCAAGCGCCAACCTCAGTACCAAGCCTGCACAATCTGGCCAGAGAGCCAGCTGCCGCCACTCTTGCTGTAGACCTGCGACACCCCAAAAACCTTCCTCCTCTTGCCCTGGCAAATGGTCAGCTAACACTGATCCAACCTAAAATGGCTTTCCTCTACCCCCAAACCACCACCGGCCCCAAACCACCACCGGCCCCAGGGTTTCATGGTCTGAGCGTTGGGCGGGCGTGGATGGCAAAGTGAACCCGCCAACAATCCATCTTCATGGGGCAGCTCGCCCATCACTGCCTCCACCTGCTGACCGATCTGATACTCCTCGCTCCTGGGCACCCTAGCCGTGGATTCTAAGTCAACTGAGTGGGACTCTGCTGCTGAGCCTGTCCGCAACTGGTGGTTGGTTGATGAATTAAAACGGCCCCGCAACAAAACCATGTCTGTTCACTTCGCTGTATGGCCTGTAGCCATGGCAGCCTTCCGACACGCCCTTGACGTTGCTGAGATGTCCAAGGAGAGTATCCACCTGCGGCTGCATCCTGTCGCGTGAGGCGGCCATGCGGTTGGCCTCATGAGTCTTGATGCCGGACGGAGCCAAGGCTAAGGTTGAGCTAGAAGCAAAACACTTGAGATGCCCTGAGTGGACTGCAGGTAGCTCTCGCTCTCCGGCCTGCTTGGCAGGGCTGGCAGCAGGCGCGGGGCCACCTCTCAATGGCTTTGTGCACTCCGGCTGTCAAGCGAAACCAGCCGCGCGCTTTGCTGCTCAAAGGGAGTCACAGTGGTTGCTCCAGAACCTCCAGTTTGGCGCGGCCTCCTTGTTCTATCTGGCTTGGAACCCACCAGAAGGTTCATTTTTCTCAGGAAACCGTCTCTGAGGTTCCATTCTTATGGATTGGAGGGCACCCCGTCCAAGTAGTTTCTCTTTTCCTTTTCGGTTGGAGCCTCCCGCAGCCGGGGCTCGGCCCGCAGGGCAGCCGCCAGGGCTCTGGAGGTGTCCCGTCCCAAGAGGTGCAGCGCCAAGGCCTTCGCCAGGTGAGTCAGAATCAAAACCCGGTACAAACATGGTCGACCCAGAGCCATGCTTCAAGAATTAAGGCGGATATCCGCAGCTATTTATGGCAAGAGGATTGTCCCCTACTAACCTTCATCTAAATACCCGAGTCTTGATTGTGATTCAGGTTGCTTGCCAGATGGACGTTGGTGATAGTTTGATGCTAGTCCCGGTGCTGGTCCCTGTGCCAGTCCCCGATTTTCACGCACTTGGTTCAACTTGACAGCGGTTGGGGTTGTTTTTTGCCAGCCAGGCAGGGAGCAATTTTGTTTATAGGTGATCCTACGTTTCGGGTTGCGAGCATCATTGGCTATGGTCAAGCCTCCCTTCATGGACGGCACCAGTGCAAGTGAAACAAATCAATCAGGTAGGAATGATTGGATTTGGACGGCTTAAGATTGAAGGGTTCAAAATGAAGAGTTGTTTGCGTTCTGCAGTGTGTCAGCCATCTCATGCCTGCTTGGTGTGACTACCAGATTGTGGAAATATACCATTTGTTTGAGATTGTCTAAAGCGGAAGCACCCTGTTTCAATGATTTGCACACTTCGAATACTACCTCGGGAACAGGCAGGTCACATCGAATTGATCCGTTAGCTCATCATGCTCATCCCACTCGGGCTTTCCCCGCAACGCCACTTCAAATGGGTCACAGGTCAGTCCGCAAAGCGCGGGCCGATGCCGGCGGGATCAAAGTCCATAGGTGGCGGGGCAGGCGCCGCAGGTGCCGGCGGCGCCACGCCGGGCATCCCGCCCATGCCGCCCATGCCGCCCATGCCCGGGATGCCGCCACCCTGGCCGGGCATGGGCACACCCATGTCCTTGTAGAACTTGCTGAGCTGCGTCCTGGACAGCTCCAGGGAGGCATTGTGCGCCTCCTTCATGGCCAAATACACCGCATCTGCCAGCACCTCTGCCGTCAGGTTCGCTTCCATGACACTCTCGTCGATCTCCACACCCAAGGGCGCCAAGTCACCACTGATGCTCACCTGGTGGCTGGATGAAAGCTGCGAAAGGAAACTTCAAGAAGGTCATTCAATTGGGTGGCCCTCACTTGTAGGATCATGCACTCGGCTAAATGCGGCGTGGGTCGTCCCCTTTGTGGCGGGATATTGTCGGGATGCGGCTTGCATTTTAATGCAAGCCAGAACCCACATGAAATATTTTCGATTAAAGCCATCTGATCCATCTGCCATTTCTTCGTATAATTTCAACCGATCCCCAAGTATAGCACAGCTTTCGCCCCCGTTCCCCCCCCCCCCGAGCCAGCGAGCAAGCTGAGCGAGCTCCGTTTTTGAGAGAGGCACCTTCACCTTGCCGCCCAAAGCCGTGCCGCTGGAAGGCGTGTCCCTCAGCTGCTTCTGTAACTCCGGCATCTTCTTCATGGCCTGAGCGCAGCAAACAACCCTAAGGCCGCCCCTCAAAGGAAACCGCGGGCTTGCAAAAGTCTGAAAAGTGCTTCAGCCTAGTCTGAGACTTCAATGAACTGGCGACTCGGACTATGTCTTTAAAACTGAAGGATGATGGACAAATGGCTCTCTCTTGACACGGCCAACGGGGGCTCCCTCCGTCTGCCTCCGCCACCTTCCCCATGGATCCCATGAGGTCTCCCAAGTTGGGCGTCGCTCTGCGCGCCACCAGGCCGCGGCTGAAGGCATCCCCGGCCACAACCGCAGCCACAGCCAGGCAAACGCTCAACAGGGGCCGCCGCAAAGCCATGGCGCGCGTCCAAAACTCTTCTTGGAAATGCACTGAATCCTGTACCTCTCGTAGCTGCTTTGACTAGTTTGTATCTTCGGCCACGAAATTATCGGCACAATCTGGGCCCCATATAGACTTTGCAAACCAGGGCAAAGCCGCGAGCCCAAGCAGCGCACACCATTTGCAACATGGCAGCATGTCTCTCCATGGAGCAGCCCCCCAACTTTTTCAAAACCTCACTGCCATCCTCCCGCCTGAAATAAATGAGTGGGGGCCTCCGATGATGTCCGCGATGCCTGCCGGGCGTTTGCACATGCACGCAAAAAGGTATCGTCTTAAACCGCTCAGAAATTGGAGCGCTTCAGGTTTGGGGTTGGGTCTATGTGGCGAAGACGCCTGCTGAAGCTTCTCCAGTGCTCCTTCAGCATCACCTTGCCTGTGCAAACTGAGAATCGGAAAGCAAAGTCTTTTCCTTGTCTTTGCCACTAAATGCTCAACTGCCATGCACACAATCTACCCCTCCCACGTTGCCATGGCACCTGTGGGAGGGCACCCCCCTGTGAGTTGCCATGTTACTGGGAGAGAGGGTCTCAAGCTCAACTCGGGCGAGGCGAGAATCGCGCTCAACTCGCGCTCGGACGTCGAAATGCGTTAGACTGGGCCGCGGGCAACAGCAGGCCTCGGCAGTTGCATGCATCTGGCCAACCTCCCCACCAAACCCAAGTGGCTTCACGCGGCTTGAAAGAGCGCTCGTAGGTGAGTCATGATCGAACACGTGAATCTATCCAATCCTTTTCTAGTCTTCGTGTTTCCAGGTAGTCGATGGTGCAAACTCAAATTCAATTCCATCACCCACAGCAACTGGCATGACATAGGTGGCTCGTCTGCTTTTTAACCAAAAGCAAAACATTGTGGAAACCAAAACAGCCAGCGTCGCGAACGGACCTGGGTGGACTCGAAACACCATTGACGTGTGTGTCAAGCGGATCCATGGTCCAACTATTCCATATGCCATTACCCGAACCCTATTCTCTGTCGTCTAGCTGGGCCAGCAAATTCCTTATCTGCAGCAACAGAAACAAAAAGCAACACCATGAACTCACAGCGAAACTCGGTGAATACACAGACTGACAAGACAGACAAACACGCTGACAGTCCCAACAAAACAACAAACCAACAAAAACAAACATTGGCACCAGTAGCTGCAAAATTCGCGCGGGAGACATGAAGGCGGCAAAGGTTCCCCCTCCTGCCCTCGAGGCAAGCGTCCGTAGCCAAGCCAAGTCCGAACTTCAGCCTCTGCTGGCAGATCAAGTGGCTCCATGTCCTCAATCCCATGGCGAATTGGAGCACAGCCCGGGCTCAGCGCTCGCTCTCATCTTGCTCGCCAAACCGTTAGCGTGCCGATATTTAGGCGAAGCTTGGACTTTGCTTGAGAAATTAGGTTGCAACACTCGTTCTTTATAATGCTGATCAATTCTTGAACTTAAATAGGACACAGACATTGGGGCTATTGTGAATGGTTGGCATTCCTAAAATGTGTTGGCCGTCTTCCATTGAGGTTGGACTACCTGTCAGAAAGCCCTTGCCTTCTCAGCGCGCTTCAGGCGTTCACCCGCACGTTGCAGGCAGCTCAACCTCAAAAGAGCGGGGGTCCCAGTCCTAATTCGCAATCCGCGGTGGGGCACTGCAATTGGCCTCGCTTAAAACAACCCAACAATCGGTGCACCATACGCCCAAATGAGGGAAACCCCGACTGTGTATGTGGTTTGCGCTAGGTGCGATTTGTTTTGTTGAGACTCCGACGCGCATGTAAATATCGCTGCAAGACATCAAACACCGACCCGTATCGCAGCGGCCAAGGACAATGTAATTGCAACTGTCGCAGGTGCCAGCAGCAAAATTCAAATCAACATGTTGAGAAGATCAAAGCCTCGGGCGCTCCCAATTTTATTTTTTTTCAAACAGAGCATGAACTATAGAACCAAAAGCGTCATATCTCATAACAAACAAACAAAAGCGAAATCAAGCCGCGCATAGGACTCTCATCTTGCCATGGTTCACGGGGCCGGGGCTCCGCGCGCATGCGAGGTCGTGCCGAGGAAAAGCTGTGCTTGGCCGAGGCGGCAGGGCCACAGCCCGCCCTGGTCCAAGCGCTCCAACTCCTGGGCTCCAGGGGCGTCCCAAGCGGTTTTCTAGAAAGATTCGGATCTTGGAAATGGAAGGCACCCCTAGAAGCTACCCAAAAAAACGTTCATCTGCGTCACTTGCTCAAAACCCGGTATCAAAGTGGTCGACCCGGAATCCCAGAACCATGCTTCAAGAATTAAGAAGGCGGATATCTGCAATTTCTGGTTGGGATTGTCCCTGGCTCAGCTGTGCTTGTGTTTGTTTGCCGGGACTTTTTGCGAAGAGGTTAGGGGAAAATTCGGGAAGCGGATGACCAAGTCTCGTCCCGAGGTGATACTGGTGTTGAATGGTGGGTGCTTAGCGTTCATCTTCCCCTTGAAGGCGTGACAGCATGTCCTTTGGTGCATATTCGGCAGAGATGGGCCTTTCAAACCGGAAGAGGGTGATCAAAATTCAGGAAATGGCAAACGCGGGCTGGCCCCGGAAATTTGAGCTGCCTTTGTACTTGCAGGGAAGGGGCGAGGATGGCAACCTGAGAAATGGTCAGGTTAGGGTGGTACGGTCTTGTCCACAAGCCGGAATATTTTAGAACGTAGCCAGCATAATCCAACAAGCGCCAAAGGGTCACCGATTGGCGGGGTGGTCCTACAGAGGGGTTCAGAAGCCCAGATCGGCACTGCCAACAGCTTGGTGACATGGGGCTGGATGGTACCCGAATGGGGTTTGTGCGTGTGGGCATTGCTGAGGCGAACATGCGGCGCAAACCCTCAGGAAGTTCTTTGGATCAAATCATCCAATTGTCTGGCTGCGCATTTACGATCCCACAAATGATCTCACATGTGCGTTCTGATACGTTCTGTGTTTTTGCAATGCGGTGCAATAAGCGAGCTTGGTCGCGGTTGCATCCAAAGGCTCCTTATTCGGCCCAAGGAAGTTGCACAGCCGCATAAAACTCAGCTGTACACTGATCGAAGCAATGCGGTGTAATGCCCTGCTTCGGAGCCATGCGCCCTAGCAACTTAAGAAGGGGGCGGCCCAAATCTTAGTCTCAGTCCTTGCGGACGAGCACCCAAAAGAGCGTGGTCTTGCCACGGGTTGGGCACAAAAATTCAAGGCCCCTTCGGGGCGAGCAATGTGTTATAGCGTCTCGCAAATTCAAAAGCATCGTGCACACGATCATCATGCAATCCACGCAATTTCCGTTGGCCCTCACTCATCGCCAGGTTTCTACGTCAGCCTGCGAGGCACGCAGGCAAAAGCCGTGTCTCAAACATCCAGTTCGCAGGCAAAAGCCGTGTCTCCGACATCCAGTTCCTCACCCCTTCCCAGTTCCACTGTCGTTTTGCTTGTGAGCGAATGCTGAAGCCTTCGGCCCAGGACTGAGCCCGTTTCCCTCCCAGAATCTAGGGCCAACCTCCTCAGCATATCGGGGCCGACACCGACCAGCATTTAACACTCGGAGAAAACACATAAAAGTCTCCAATCAGGAGCCCACTGAATATCAAACGAACCTGGCAACAGGGCAGATCTGAGCGGCTGATACTGACCGAATCTCCATCCAAAGCAAGCAAATCGTCAAGCGAGCGAACGGAGACGTCTCGTTGCCGCTGAAGCACCGGACTCTTTGCAAAAGGGTAGAAGGTCTTGCAGTCGCTGCGACCGGTGGCAAAAGGTCGTCCGTAGCTCTGGATTGCCAAAGCCTCAGCTTCACAGGAGCACCTCAAGGAAACAATTCTCAGGGAAAGTGTGAAGGAATCCGATCTCCCTAAGAGGCTGCCAAATGTTTAGCTCCGAATGGACCTTGGCATGTCGGCTATAGTCATGGCAACCACGTGGACTCGCAGCGGAAACAAGCCAGTCATAGCCAGGCTTGTTGAATCACAGCAGCAATCACAATTACAGCTGGTTTGAGCAATTAAAGGTGCATGCACAAGTGCTATGAAAATCAGGACAATGACCTGTTTGGCTGTCGTGCATTACACTAGAAACAGGAAGGAGTGCGCAAAGTGTCCTTCTGCTGAGTGAACCCGCATCGGCGATGATACACGAGGCAGTATCCTGTCAATAAGCTACAGTTCGCCAATATGTCTTCCCTCTGGCCTCCTGTTGTGAAACACCGAATCCTGAGAGCAGGAACACTGCCGCAAACCTGCCAAGTGCATGCACATATTATGTATGGCATGCATGCATAAATCGAAGGACTTAAGGTCAGCTCCCACTAAGCATGCATGCGCCCGCCTGCAATCTTTAACACCAGATTAGATGTGACTAGATGCACTGCGAGGAAGGCGCGAGAACTGAGGAATAGAAGCGACCCAAAATCATGACCTTTCTTCCGCATGTGAGGACACATAGGCGGGCTGCGAGCGGAGCGGGCACGTTTGGAGGCGGGAACCTTTGACACGGCCGCGGGCATTGTTGCATAACCTTGACATAATAAACCCTCTGTGGACTTTCAGTGGGTCGACTTCTCGCATTTTGTGGCTGGGGGGAAAAACTAGAGAGGGAGAGAGAGAAAGACAAAGAGACAAAGAGACAAAGAGACAAAGAGACAAAGAGACAAAGAGACAGACACACAGACACACAGACACACAGACAGACAGACAAACAGACAAACAGAGAAAGACAAAGAGACAAAGAGACAAAGAGACAAAGAGACAAAGACACAGAGACACAGAGAGACAGAGAGACAGAGAGACAGAGAGACAGAGAGACAGAGAGACAGAGAGACAGAGAGACAGAGAGACAGAGAGACAGACAGACAGACAGACAGACAAACAGACAGACAGACAGACAAACAGACAAACAGACAAACAGAGAAAGACAGACAGACAAACAGACAAACAGACAAACAGAGAAAGACAAAGAGACAAAGAGACAAAGAGACAAAGAGACAGACAGACAGACAGACGGACAGACAAACAGACAGACAGACAGACAGACAGGACAGACAGGACAGATAGGACGGACAGGACAGACAGGACAGACAGGACAGACAGGACAGACAGACAGACAGAAAGAAGGAAAAGAGAGCGAAAAAGAGAGAGAAAGAAAAAGAGAGAGAGAAAGAAAAAGAGAGAGAAAGAAAAAAAGATAGCGTAGGAAAAAAAAGAAAGAGAGAGAGAGAGAGAGCGAAAAAACAAAAAAAACAGAGAGCGAGGGACAGAAAGAGGAAACTTAAAAATGTACAATGTACATATATATATATATGTATACATATGTGAAAAGCAAAGAACAAGTTTAAAAAGACACAGAAAAACAGAAAGACACATAAAGAGAAAGAGAAGCGGAACAACAGAAAGCAAAAGAGAGAGAGAGAGAGAAAGAAAGAAAACAAGAAAGATAAAGACACAGAAGAAGAATCAGACGAAGAAGCAAACGAATCAAAAACAAAAAAGAAGAACAAACAGGTGGGAGAGAGACACAGAAGAAGAATCAAATGAACAAGAAAACAAAGAAGGAGAAACAACAACGAAACAGGTGGGAGAGAGAAAAAGAAAAAGAGAAAGAGAAAGACACAGAATAATAATCAGACGAAGAAGCAAACAAAGAAGAAACAACAAAAACAGGTAGAGAGAAAGAGAGAGAGAGAGAGAGAGAAAGAAAAAGAGGAAAAGAAAGAGAAAGACACAGAAGCAGAATCAGACGAAGAAGCAAACAAAGAAGAAACAAACAAACGAGAGAAGCAAGTGGGAGAGAGAGAGAGAGAGAAAAAAAACAAGGAGAAACTCCGCGGTTTCATTTCATGGGATGTTGAAATGATGTTGAAATGAGGAGTTATGATGCCATGTTTCAACAAACATCCATGGGTGAGTTGAATCTACTCAGTGAGTTGCACACAAGAAAATACAACACCGCAGTACCCCTCACACAAAAGCCAGGGCACCCGGGCGGACATGCTTGACTTGCTCAATTGACTGAACCAGCCACGTGGGTAGGGCTGTGGTACATGGTATTTTGGGCATGGCGGGCAGCTTTCAGCAGGGTGGGGGCTTGTTGTGAAGTAGCAAGGCAACTCTTCAAGCACATGAGTGTGCTCATGTTTTTCGCATACCCGAAATTGTGATTTTCCTTTTGGCTTCCCCTTCAAAACCAAAAAAGACCAACGGATATTTTCGAAACAAGACACGCCCACGTTGGTTTGTTTGGGGCCACCGTCCAACATGCTGCAAGGACCAACTGGCTCCTGACGCTCGAGCGTTCAAATGTTGCACAAAACCCCACCCAACCGAACCGAACACACCCACCTACCCACCCATCCGCCTAATTTTCCAATGAAGTTTGTTATGCTGACGTGTCGCGTCAGCTGCTTGGATAGACTTCACGTCCACATCACTCTCGCCGCCACAGGCATCAAAGACCCGGGCGCCGTGAATGCGATAGCAAAAGTCCTTGTCCTGCCATGGGCTGCACTTTTTCTGGATTGCCATGACCTGCAGCCACATCTGGCTCCAGTAGCGGTTGTAGTCCACCCCGCACGATGCTGCCAGTTGGATGATCTTCTCAACTGGGGTGTCCTCCAAGGGAGTCGCAGAAAATCTCAATTAAAGCTTTCTTTACACGCATGGCAAACCACAGTAGAAGAAGTGGAAACAAGTAGGCTAACCGTGTGGAGTGGCCAAGAGCCTTGAACACCCCTCACTCCTCGTCTACGTCGATCCGCATTGCTTCACCCTTTGCGAGTGCAGCCAACAAAAACTGCACTGGGAAGAAGCGGCCGTGTTGCAGGTGGAGCCCCTTCTCAAACATGGCATACTGGAAGGGCAGCATGGGCCCATGGACGTACTGCAAATGCAGCTGATATTGGGAAGGTGGGAAGTTCATACCTGCACTGCCCATGGCTCTCAAATCTGGTGGCATGTTGCCCAAGTATGTCGCCCTGAAGAGATCGTCAGACCAGAATTGCTCCAAGCAAACTGTGTCGACCTCATCCAGCATGCCTTGCAAGATCTGCCTTCCACGGCAAGGATCCTTAAACAGGAAGCGCAAGTCGGGGATATGAGCACTCGTAGGGATTACGTTCAAGTGGCACACCGAAACCGTGAGCGGGTCGTCAAAGACCAAATGCTTGTCGTTGCATGCACGCATTGAAATGCTGAGGGAGGATGCGCCCTTCTCGATGCCGTAAACAAATGCCTGGCTCAAGACATGAAGCGAAGCTGCGAGTCCCAAAGCCAAACATGGTATCTAACATGGTTGCCTACATCGCGAACCGCATCCCAATTGACAACTTGAAACATGCCCAAACTTTTGCCATTCATCTTGGCGCCATCAAAACGTTGTCTGTGCTGGCAAGCTCGACGAGCTCCAAGCTTGTGCCGCAATTGTTGCATTGAACAAGCGTGCGGGCGCAGGCCTTCCTGAAAAAAAAAAAAAAAAAAAAAAAAAAAACGAACTGTCCGAGTCCAGCGTCCGAGTCATTTCCAGAGCTTCTCCCAAACGGAGAAGCTAAACGAGTGGACATGAACAACATTTAGGTGGGGATTCATGTCCATCAACCACTTGTGAGATGGTTCCCTATTGAAGCTCATAGCCAAATCTGCCGAGCTTCTGACATGATGGGCAAATCTTCACCTTGTTCCGCATCTGCTCCAGGACATCTGGCTGGTCTTTGTGCGCCTAACAGCAACTGCCCTAGACGGGGCCCCAATCAAAGCATCACTCAACCAAATGAACCGACATCGAAAGCAATCAAATTCAAACAGCTCGAGTGAGAGTGAGTGCCTAAGTTGAACAGCGACTCGCTGAAAGCACCTCAGCGGCGGTAAGCCGAAAATCGAAAAACACCCCGAGTTGCAATGCGGGAGATTTTCCTCCGCCCCCCGCGCGCATCGGCCGCGCATCGGCCGCGCCTGCCGGAAATCCTGGAGGCTGGGCCAGCGAGGGGTGGTGTCCCCCGCGAAGTCCCTCCGCTGGATATGCGGCATGGGCGCCTTGAGCCCTGCCAAGTAGCTCGAAGCACCTGCGCCAAGGAAATCCAAAAAACCCCTGGGACCACATGGATAGTCCAAAGCCCCCGCTTTTTTTTTTCCTTCCGGTGATCCCAAGGGCCGAAGGGAAAGAGCGCCCAGAGGCGGCGTCCTCCCCCCCCCCCCCCCGCTGCCTTCATGTTGGCCGCTTTTGCGGTTGATCAAAAGTCGCTGGCGGAAGGCTGGCACGGGCGCCATACGCGATTGGATGACCAGTGCTACTGTCGTGAGCCAAAAATGTCTGACGAGGCTGAGCATGCACGTGGCATAGCTTCTCGGCCGCATTGCAGGAGACCGTTTGCAGCTGCGATGCCAGCAGCAATGGCCCTTCCCTCCGGGCTTCAGAATTGTATACTTGCCAAAAACACGCTTGAACACCAATCTCACATCGTGGCCAGACTTCGCTGTATCCTTTTCTGGGAACTAGCTGCGAAGTGGGCTGTGAAGTGGGTCTTTTAGGGGTCGCCCCAAAAATGGTGGTCCCCCTTTTGGTTTCCCTTAAACAACAACACACAAAAATGGTCCCCTCAAAACAAACAGACGCCCCCAACAAGCTTCCAAGTACCTCAGATGCCCAGAGGCCATGGGAAACAAAGGGCATCCTTTTGGGTTGGTTTACGTCGGGGGATTTTAGGAAAAAAGGTAACACTGGGCAACTGGTGGCGGCTGGCGCCCCTTCGCGCCCGCTGAAAACCACTTCGCGACTTCGCGCTCGCTCCAACGCCTGGTACCAGGCTGCAGCTTCCCGAAAGTGGCGACGCTTCCAGTGGGCGGCCGCCACAGCTTGCAATGCCCCCTGACCACTTCCAGCGGAGATGGCCGTGGGTCAGATTCGGAGCGTGTTCAATTGGCTGTGGGTCAAAGATAGGTACCCAAAATAGTGTTAGTGGGAGGGAGGGTACCCAAATGGGCTGCCCTGGTAAATGGAAACATGGGCTAAAATCTGCGGTCCCCTAAGCCCAGTGGTTCCATTTTGACACGCGCTCACCCAGATATCTGCTGAGGCATTTGTTGAAGTGCGTTCGACCAACTGGGAAAGGCACTTGCTGGAATGTTGGACCCCAGTTGACATTTTTCTTTTGCTAAACAAATATGGTATTTGCCGGGGCGTCTCCTGGCTCGCAGCATGCAACAATAACCAAAACACAACTAAGGAGGTAGAAGCACTCTTGGCGCATGTTAGCCATCTCGGGCATTGAACTAACTCAGTTTCACGCAGGCTGGAACATATGACAGGCGTATGCAACAGTCTATGGAGTCAATCAGTGTCTTGTTCGCAAGCGGGCATCGAAACAAAGTTGCGGGCTAAGGGGGCAGTGGCCCCGGCACAAGGCTCTCTCGCTCTCGCCGTCAAAAGTCTCGTCTGCAGAAGCGCGGGGCACTTGCCACGCCTTCCAACTGGCGAATCTGGACTCCAAATGCCCCGCCTTGGAGTCTGGGTTGTCCTTTGCCACCGACTCCAGAAATTGCAGGGCATCTGCATCCTGTCGGTCGCGCTCTCAGACAGGTTGCATGCCGAGTTCATGAGCAAAACCAAAGTCGCAGGTCATGACAACATGGGTTCGCGATGGTTACCGAACGATAGAAGGATATCAGAAAAGGAACAGCCAGGTTGCAACTCTTTGTCTTAAGACTTTCTTTTTTAACAATGCCCCGTGCCATGTTGGCAGAATTACTAGACAAAGCGACTCAAATAACAGGGCTCAACAGCTCATTCACTCGTCTGCGATGAACAGGACGTGCAGTGCTCTTGGAGGAATCCTCGGTCAACTTCAGAAACATCCGTCCACAAAACGACGTGTCCAAGAAGCAAATTTCAGGCAGCCCTTCATTGGTGACTTGGACTGGTGGGCTTCTTTTTTGGGTGCTTTTTGAAGCCAAGTGGGGAAGGCACCCAAGGTCCAAACCACCAAGGGCTAAGTGCGTAGACCGTAGAAAGTCAGTTGGGAGCTCACCTCGGCAGGGAAAAATCGGAGAGGGAGACCTCCCATAGGCAGTGGCAAGTTGTGGCTGCTGCCAAACTGCTCCTGTTGCAAACCTTCCGAAGATGAAATGCAAGTTGAGTCTTAAGGGGAACGCAACTAGAATCAGCCTGCAAGTTGGAGGGCACAAGCTTTCCCAAGCTTGCCCCGCGTCTTTGCCGCGCAAACATCGCAAACTCGGCGCGCCTTGAATTTCGTTGCGTTGCAACTTTGTTATTACCTGGGCTGATGGATCCTGAGGCTGAACAAACCTCTTGCATGACTTTCACCCAAAGGTGATGCAACAGGATTCCTTGCCCCTCAGCAAGCTCTGTGTCCTTGCCCGCTTTCTCGAAGAGCAAAGCCTGATTGACAGGTCTGGCTGCCCCCTTGGCTTGGAAAGCTTGCACTAAAGACCCCGCCCCAAACCACGACCCCAAAGTAAGAAGCGGACCTCTGGTTAGAAACCGTACAATGGCCGTCTCCATTGCTAACAGGTGGTTGGCAAAAGCTTTCCACAGGCTCGAGACGCGCCCACAACAAGTGTGACATTTCGCAGTCCAAGCGAGTTAGTTGTCACAATGCGTGCCCTGGGCGGGTAAGCGGCCAAGGCATTTCTTCGCAGACTGTGCCAAACGAGGGCTAAGGCTAAAGCACACACACACATATATATATATATATATATACATATTATATACTCTGCCGACGCCAGTCGAGCATATCCCCAGCAGCCCCCGCGCCGAGTTGATTCGAGCTTGCCAACTGCACAAACACTTTCACGGGTTTGCTCCAAAAATATCGCCAAAATCCTCGCCCTGGTCATGTTACGCATATTATCTGCGTTCTTTCAATAGGCGCAAATCCCAGTTCGCCTGCAGCTCTCGGAGCTGCGTCCTTAAGCGTGGGAAACTTGACTGGTGTCCGGAACTTTGATCCAAAGTCTTACGCCAGGTGCCCAAAAAACTGTCGCGAGGCTGCGTGCGTTTGAGGAACCTCGGGGCCCAAAGCGGCATCCTTGCAGTTTCGGCAGGAAAACAACGAGCCAGGTGGAGATAAGTTGCCAAACAACTCCACAAAGACCGGCGCCCCAATCAGAAATGCAAGAAACTTCCGGGGTTGCCCCCTAGAAATTTCATTTACAAAGGGGTGACCTTCCTTTGGCGCCAGCCCGTCGCCTTCTGCTCCAGTGCCAAAAGGTTGCCGGGCTCCAGCTGCTGCGCGCGGGCCAGGTCCGCCTGTGAAATCCATCCAATGCATGGGGCTGATTTCTTTTATGGTGTCCCGTTGGAGTGGGATTTTGAACGGGAATTACGGGGAAAATCCGTAAACAATTGAGGAAAAATCAAGAGCACAATCATATAGGTGTGGATTTGTTTTGAATTCTCTCACTTTTTGTCAGTTTCAAGCGCGAAGAACACCGACCGCTTGGGGAATGAGACAAACCGGTATCTTTCCATGAGCTGATTCCATGGATCAGGGCCCCGAGAAACATCCCGATAAAAGGCCTGCACCAACATGCATTTGCTCCCACCATGACAAACTACCACATGCACCGGACAGGACAATGCCATGACCTACGAACCTCTATGCACCGCTGGACCTCCACAAAACCAAGCCCTCACATATCAAAATATGGCCAACCCCCCGCCCCAACGCGAAGCCACAAATTGTCAAGCTCACCGGCCATTTCAAGCACAGCAACTGACTGGCAAGCCATCAGTCACTGAAAGAAGCTGCATAAGCCTTGACTTGCGTATGCTCACCAGCCATGCGCAGCCCAAATCCTAAAACATGAGGCTCTTGAAGGAAATCCATTGGAAGAGTCCCTGTTTGAGAAAAAGAACGGCACCACCCCTTTCCAAGACACAGCCGCCGCCTCCGCCTCCGACACGTCACAGTCTGGCGCCTGCAAGCCACCATGGACCCGGCACGGTTCTTCACCATGCAACTGCTCGGCATTGGTCAAAAGGATAGCAAAGGAAAGGAAAGTGGCGCCAACTCCCTGACTGAATCACTGAAGTGTCTTAGCGTGCTAGTTTGTGCTGGCCCCCTTGCGAATATTTGTTTTGCTTAGGAACTTCGGGCATGGGAAGTACACATGCAAGATCCCGCCGCATCCTGCTTGTCACGCACTGTCCATGGCTGAGGGCCCGTACTGCGAGCTTCCGCGCTGCCAGCTCGGCGTGCCACTGGGCGTTGCCCGGTTCCAGCCTGGGACACAGAAAAACTGCGTGGGCAAACTGCGCATTTTTCCCGCGAAGGCCAACCAACTCTGATCAATCCTCAGGTTTGAGACCTTCATAAACTTATCGCCTCTTGCAGATCAACCAGGTTTTGGTTGACGTTGGAAGGCAAGCAACAAAATAAACTGTCGCAGTCAAGTGGGATTTCCCACTAAACCAAGAATAACCAAAAGTAAGCAAAATGTTTCCCAACAACAACCATGAGGTTGGCTGGTTGGGAACGCTCCGTTTTACCTTTGTAACCCGGCTGCCTGAGGCGCTGGCTGCACCAACCGCCGCAAAGCCCGCAGCTGCAGCGCGGCGTCCGAACGGGATGCCTGCGCCAAGCCGCGCCAGGCTGCAAGGCCTAAGCAACAGGCCGTGAAATGTTGTGCCCATCTAGGTGCTGCAGTAGAGAGGTTAGAATAAGGGAGCTCTTTTGGCTCGTGGCGCATCCTCGGTCGGCCGCGCTGGTGAGTGGGGCGTACCGCCCCACCACCGGTTGGAAAGCCCGGTCGGGCTGTGACACCGGAGAGCCAGGCTCAATCCGCAGGCCTGGCGGGCACCCAAGGGCAGCCCACAGGCAAGCACCGCCACACGCAGCAGGCCGGGGCCCGGCTGCACAACTGCTGAGAAACGCACAGCCCCGACAGGGGCCGTGCCTGAAAGAGGCTCCAACCTGGGCCCAGTGTGAGGGGCACCCACCCCCCACACTGGAACCCAGGACGCCACTGCAAGCCGCGAAGGCACCCACCACACGCAGGAGCACCAAGTGAGGGGGCCAGCCCCCCACATGGTGCAACCAGCACGAGGCCAACAGGCCGAAGACACCCGCCGCCGCACAACAGGGTGCCCATTTGGCACGTGGCATCCCCGAGGCGAAGAAGGGAGGCCAGGACCCCCGAGCTGCACAACGCCAGAGACCGAGGGCGAGGAGACCCACACCCCGGGCCCAGGCGGGCACCATGCGGCAGGAAGTGCCGCCACCACATCCGCAGGCACCAGGCGAGGGGGCCAGCCCCCCACACAGGAACCCAGGCATCCTGCACTAGGCCAAGGAGGCCATCACCCATCCACCACCCGAAGAGCACGACGAGGAAGTAGATCCACCACCTGCCAAGCCAACCACCTCCAAAGGCCGCAGCCCACCGTGCCGCTAGGCCAAGGCACCGAGCAAAAAAGCCCAGTCCTTGGGCACACGGCCGAGGCGACGGGCCGGCCAGGGCCCGGGCTGTAAAGTCGAGCTCCTCCTGCGTGCAGACCAGGCGGGCCCCCGCAAAGGCCCCTCTAGGCCACGTGACACCTGCGAAGCAGCCCAGCCTGGGCCTCCAATCCCGAGGAAACGCCAGTGGCTCCCTGCGTGTGATGCATCGTCGAGCTGCTTGAAAATGCTCCAGCAACTCACGCACCGCAGCCGCATGACCAGGGCGAAACGGCAGGAGGCGCGGAAACCGGCGCCAAGCGACAAGGGCAGCCTCCAACCCAGGCTGCATCTGCTCCGGCAGGACCTCCCACTGCGCCTCCGCCAAAAATCGGCACCATGCATCCCAGGATGTGTCGCCACCCCTCCAGTCCCGTGGCCGGGACAGAGGTGGCCGTGTGACAACCAGCGCAATCGGGCCATGGCGCGGATCCGGCAGGGGCTCAGGGGGGCGCATGACAGGAGGGGGGGTAGGTTGGGCATCAACATCAGAGGGCAACGCAACAGCAACACGGGTACGTGGCAGGGCGGCCAGCAACCGCTGAAGCCACAGATGCCGTCGGTAGGCTGCATAGAACAAGGCATGCAGCCGGGAACCATCGACCCGGAGGGCGGCACGAGCAGCTTGCTTGGCGGCCAAGTCAGCAGCATGATTACAGGCCGCATGCATGGCGCCGACCGGGCAGGTAAGCGACTGAATAGCCACATGCCCACGGATCCAATGCAGGGACAGGCTGAACCCGTGAGGGCCACGAGCAACACAAATCTCCCAGAGGAGCTGCCAGATATCAGCAGCGGCCACATGGGTGGGCACCCGATTGAGAGAACAAAGGGACGCCCAGGCAGAGACCGCAGACTGAGAGTCAATATGGAGTGTAAGGGGGCCACGTACAAGTTGGGCCGCCCTGAGAATGGCGTAAACCTCCGCCCTGTAGTTGTCAGCAAAGACGCCCGGGACAGGCCCCGAAGCCACAGTGACCCGAGACGGGGAGACAACCGCAAAGCCAGCAGCGGCAAAGAAGGGATGCTGAGGGAGGAACACACTGCCGTCAGTCCAGAGATGGACCGAGGTGCCCACAGGGAACAAAGGGACAGGACTAACAGCAGGCCACTCAACCACAGTACAGCACGCAGCAACGAGGTCCGGAGGGATCTCCGGAAGCGCATGGGAATAAAACGCAGGGCCCTGAGACTCGCTTTGACGAGGGGGGGGCCCAACCTCGGCCGGGAAGGCGGGGCATTCAGCCAAGTGACCAATTGTCTCAACGTGAGCTTCGCAGTACCTGCAAAGGGGACTAGCGGCCATGCCCGACGAAAAGAGCCGGTCAGCGGTGACCGCGGACCCAACGACCACCGCGGGAGCGATGGCGGGATCAGAAGGGAAGGCACGGGCAAAGGAAGTCCAGCTTGGGGCAGCCGGGACCGCCCAGGGAGCCCTGGCAAAGGAGACATCCAGGAGGCCTGACGGACCTACACTAATGTCCCCACGCTTGGCCCCACAGGCACGCTGGTAGGCATGCTGGGCAATGGACCATTGAAGAAGCTTGCGCAAGGAGCGCACGGACACCGAAAAGAGAGAGATCCAGGACCCAGAGTGGAAAGCCACCATGGCCGGCGACTGAAAGCGAAGCCCGCAAGAGGTGACAGCAGCAATGAAGCTGGCAACCAAAGTAGAGGGCAGCACACGAGGATTGGTAAAGGCAATCCGCCACTTGAGTGCAAACGCTTCAGACCGCTGCAAGTGCGAGACCACATTGAGCACAGCACGGTAAGACAGGGCATACTCCGGGTGAACAAGGTGCCCCCTGTGAACCACGGCAAGGAGGAGCTCGCGCGACCTCCAGGAGGGCCGACCATCCCACAAGACCGTGGCAACCTCAGTGGTGAGAGAGGCCAGCTGCTGCTTGGGAATCGTGTTGAGCTCAGCAGAATAAGTGAGCATGGGCATGGCTTTGCGGGCTACAAATGTAGCCGCCAAGGGCCCTAAGGGCAGGGCCCGAATGGCACGCAAGGCTCTCCTGAAACGTGCAATGGCAGAGGCACGGGAATTCCTGGTGCCCCGCAGGTCTAAGTTGATGCAGACCCCAAGCGGGCGAAGAGCACGGAGGCGAGGGGCATCTGGGAGGGCAGCCTGCAGGTCGCCAGCGTGGACCTCGTGCGTGGTCCACCAACCAGATTTGTGCAGGTTGAACTGCTGGCCGGCAAGCGCATCAAAGAGAGAGGTGGCGCGAACCGCTTGAACGAGGGAGTCAATGGCCTGTGGAGCATTGACCGGCAGGTAACCGTCATCGATGTAGACCCGCGGGTCCACACCAGGGAAGTGAAGCGGACATGAGCACATTGACAGCGAGGACCGACATGGAGCAACGAGTGAGGGTGGATTGCCCCGCGCCAGGAGAGAAACCGCTGAAAGGACCGGTAGTTGCTATGCCACGCACGAGCAACGCCCCCGGGGAACCCAAGAGCAGCAAGGATCGCAGCGATCTGGCCAGGGAGCAGACGGTCGAAGCATTTGGACCTGTCCACTTGAATACCCGCGAAGACCTCGCCAGTCGCCTTGGCTTCATGCAGGTCAAGAGCAAGGTGATGCGTGATGTCATCAACTCGGCGGCGGGCAACACCCCCAACAACTTCAGGGGGCAGGACCTTACCCTGCCACTCGGCGGAGGCACGAAAGCGAGCCGAGGACCAAGCAAGATACGAGATGGGTAACACCGCAATCAAACGCTTGGCCAGCGGAGCAGGCCCCGAGCAGTACCGAAGATGCTCGGCATAGTCCAGGCCCCAGCTGCAACCTGACAGAAAAGGTGCGCAAGGACCCGAAAGACAGGCAAGGGCAAAGCACGCAACGCAACCGCAGTCCAACCGTCGAGGCCAGCCGAGGAGTCCGGTGAGCGGCGCGCGACCGAAGCCTGAAGCTCTTCCGCAGTGACCGGGGCCAAGACAAGGGGAACAGCACGCTGCTCCAACAAGTGCTGGATAGGCCTCATGAGAGGCTCGATAGGGATGCCAGCTTGGTGGACATCGAAGATTTGATTCCACTGCTCAGCAGCATGCTCAAGAGCCGCAGAGGGGTGGAAGGCCGGCAACCCATCCGGACCAGCAAGGTGGTTGGACCCAGTAGGAATGGTAGCACGCTGGAGGTGCTGGAAGACCTCCCGGCCGCTGTGCAGGGCAGAGTGCCTGAGGCCGCATCAGCACGCTCACAGAGCTGGGCAGTGCCCTCAGGGGTAAGGTCGGTCACGGGCCAACCTCCAGAACCGGCGGACAGTGAATAACGTGGTGGACGCATCAGCAGGAGCAGCAACAGGGAGCCGAACCAACCGGTAGAAAAGCTCCCGAGCGAGAGAAAGGAGGCGGGTGTGCAGGACCACCGGATGCGAACCAGGAAGCACGCGACCGAGCGGACGCATGGGGCGGATGGACGGGAGAGAGCCACGTGATCGGACACCACACCCCCAACGGGCCCCCATGGCAAGCAGAGTGGAAAGGGCAAACTCAGAGAACATTGCCCAGGCCTCCTCCCCAGTGGACAGGGCGGGAAGGGCAGGCAGAAACCTGTCAGTCCACAGAGCCTCAGCATACGCGGTCCAGGCCTCCGGAGAACCCAGATGCGCAAGGTCCAGAGGCCGTTGCGCGCGGCACCTTGCCTTGGGCCACAAAGTGGAGAGTGACAGGGGCATGCTGATACCCACAAAGGGGGGCGACCTCCACCTGATGCAGGAGCTCCGAAGCGAGCACGTTGAGCAAGACCGTATCAATTGAGGTGGTGGGGGAAGCTTCGTCCCAGGTCTTGTCCCGACAGAAGGTGGGAGCACGCTCCTCATCGGGGCGGGAGGGCTCGGAAGGGTCAAGCCACACCCCAGTGGCCAAGGCATCACTGACAGCAGGGTAAGAGGAGGGGCACGCTTGGAAGTCACCCGCAAACAAGACAGGATAGTCGAAGAGAAAGGGGGCGGCAAAGTCAAAGGCATCAGAGAGCAGCTCCTGGTTACGCTGGAAGATGGAATCATCCGAAGAAGCCCCGGAGATGCCATAGAAGTTGATAACCAAGAACCTCAGCCGGCCGTAGGTGGCCCAGACAACATGGAAGCGGCCGGAGGCCAACAGGGGCTCCAGGCGGCCAGTGACATCCTGCTGCGGAGAGAAATCGTAGACCAGGCAATCATGAGAGATAGCAGCCAATCCACCCCACTCCACCCGGCGGACACCGTTCACGTCGGGAGCAGCGGGCCAGGGACCAGAGACCGGCCGACCTCGGAAGCACGGAAGGAGGCAGTACGGACATTATCAACAGACAAGCGGGCCTCCTGCACCAACAAGAGCGAAGCAGGAGCCTCGAACAAATCAGCATGGGCAACAAGGGAGCCCACATTGTGAGACCGAACCACAAAAGGGCCTTCACCAGGGAAGCCCAGAGTAGCATCAAAATCGCGGTACAGCCAACAACCGACAGAGCAGACAGCACAGTGGGCAAACAGAGAAAGAGGCGCCCAACCAGACCAGGAGCAGTGGCCAGCACCACACCCGGGGCAGACCGCCCGGACCAAAACCCAAGAAGTATAGGAGGGGCCCAAGGGGCCCCTCCTGTCAGGCCCCCAGCCTGGCGGCCTTGAAGGCAGGGGCCCGAGCACCCTTGGCCACAGCCCCAAGGATGCGAGTGAGCTGCGCAGAGACCTGAGCAAATTGGCTGTCTACCTTCTCGGCGAGCACGTCCTGCTTGGCTTCAAGCCCGCCAACCCGGGCTTCCAGCGCATCAACTCGAGACTGGGCCACAGCAGGGGCACCACGGTGAAGTGCAGGGGCTGGGCTGGCAGGGGCCAAGTCCAGGGCGGGACCGGGGCTGCAACGAGCGTTGCTTGCCGGTAGAGTTCCTCAGGGCCGGTTCAAGGGTGAGAAGCACCTCACAGGGGTGGCCAGCTGACAAGAGGGTGAAATCCCGCACAGGAGGGTCCTGAGAGAACGCAAGGACCCATACAAGGATGCCGGAACGGCGGAATGACCGGAGAGGGATGCACGCAAAGCCGGTGGCTTTGAGGACCGCGTCAACGATGGCCTCCGGAGTAGCACCAAACGGACGCCCCTCCGCAAGAAAGTTGACCCGGGGCACCAAAGCCCGGTTGACATCAACAAAGCGAGGGTCGTCCTGCAGCAGAGCATGCCTGGCAGTAGCGAGATGCAGATGGGCTATCCGCACGGCAATCCCACGCTTAAGAGGAGCGAGACCGCAAAACCCATCCAAAGGCCGAGTGAGGGCCAGGGCCGCCCGAATCCCATCCACAGAGAGAGCCCAAAAGCGATGGACCACTGAGTGGTCCTCAGGTTCAGTGCCACGGGCCAAGAAATCCCGGACCCGTAACGCATAACAGGACTGCACCGGGTGGGAGGGCTGAGTAAGATCAAGGGTAGCACACAGCTCAGTGAGGGACTGAGTGAGCAGCGCAGGAAAGTCAGGGAGGAGCCCCTCGAAACACTCAACAACAAGCTCAACAAAATCCGCAGTCTCGATGATGATGGCATCACTCACCTCAGGGCGATACACAATGCCCGGGAAGAGATGCACCAGCAGCACCTGTCGCTTGTAGGTAACTGCAGCAACAGGATCGAAGACCGTGATCTGCAGGGGTCCATCCACATCCACGTGCGAAGGAAGGGCAGAAAGGGAGGCCTTGGATTGGCCCGCACCACAAGAGCAGAAGGAGGGCATTGACAGGGCAAAAGGCCAATCCAGCGACCAGGCAACCCAGTTGGCCCCGTGGAACAACGGAAGGCATGGTCGGGAGGCAGAGTGAGGTGTTCCCACTTGGCGTGGGCCTTCGGTCCATCCGAGCCTGCGGCCCGTTCCTCGGGGACCATCTCCTCATCATCGGACACAGAAGGCAGCGCTCCATCTCGTGAGCCGGCACCACCACCAGGAAGGGGAAAGACCCGCAGAGTGATGTGGGCATCTGCCCACGCACCAGCAAGGGCAGCATCAGGAACCGCACGCCCTTGCACAAACGGGCGGACGTGCATCAACAAGCGATCAGGCAAAGGGAGGGACCAGATGACTTGCCTCAGCGTGACAAGCTGTGGAACACTGCGGGAATGTTCCCTTCGCATGGGGTCATGGAAGTGCAGAGTGACCTAGGGTCGGGCTGTGGGAGGAGGTCCTCAGGCTCACGCGCCGGCACAACAGCAAGGAGATGGCCAGCCAGGTCACCCGCAGGATCCCGGGGCATCCAGACCCGAGCAAAAGAGGAGACCGCAAGGGAGCCAAGCACGACCGGAGGAAGCCGGGCAGCAAGCAGGAGCAGGGAGACCGCTGCACCAACAGGGAAGATGATCTCCACCCTGAAGCCACCTGGCGAAAATAGGGCAGCTCGAGCAGCACCCAGACGATACGGATAGACCATAGGGTGGTATAGCTCATCTCCAACGACCGTGGGTGGACCATCAGTGCTGGCCCGCTGAGGGACCTGCGGATGGAAGGCGAAATCAATGAGGGGTCCCTGGCCAGGGGCCCCAGGTAGTACCAGCCCCGAACAAGAGCTGCCTGGATGTCAGGGCCCCGAAGGCGCTGGTGCCAAACCTGCAAGACCACCGGTTCCGGGGGCTCATGAATGAGACCAACCGCATGCAGGAAAATGGCCCAGGGGATGGCCGCCTGAGGAACAGAAATCGAGTTACCCAACCCATGGAAGATCTCCGCGAGTGGGGGAACCAGCACCAGCGGGTGGCCCCCCATAGGGCCCATTGGGCTGAACGACCCTCGAGGGGCTGCAGCTGGGCAAAGAGGCCCCTCTCAGAGAGTGTGCTGACCGCGAGCACATGCTGCTGGGTGTACCGAGCACACGCAAGGGCTGATCGCCAGCAGGGACACGCTGTTGCAAGACTTCAGCTGGGGCAAGCCGGGGCGCACCAAGAGCCTGAGGAAAGAACTCAGGGTTAGAGTAGTGCTGCAACGTGGCATCATCCAGTAACCTGGCACGGTTGATCTCAGGGGCCTCCGCAACCTGAAAGGAAGGGTGAGTCCACGGTGCCGGACGAGGGTCCCTGAAAGTGAGGGACGAAGGCAGCGCAGCAACCTCAACATCATGCCGCAAGAGGACCGCCAACCAGCGACGTCTGGAGCAAGGGCCAAAGACCGCGTGGTCGTGCACCATTGAATGATGCAGCCGGTACCCCGCCCACTGGATAGTGGCCAACACAACAGGGAAGTGGGGATGAGCAGGCAGCCCATCCACGCATTCCAAGAGAAGGCCCAATGGGGCTGCAGCGCGAGCCCAAGCAAGGGCAGCGATGAACGTAAGGCCATTGGGATCAGCAAGCCCATCCTGATCCCCCGCACGAGACCAAGGTGGGCACGGGGGGGAGGCGGTAGCCACATGGGAACCAATCCAAGGAGCGACATGGAAAAGGCCCACATCCGACACATCCGCTAGGACCGCAATCTGGGCCGGGGTAGGCTGCCAACTGGACAACTGCGAAGGGAGCACGCTGTGCACATCCAGAGTGGCAACCTGGGCAGCTATGGCCATAGCAGAGTGGTCCACAAGCACCCCAGGGGCAATGTCCAAGCCAGCTGCAGAGCGGATGACCTCCAAGCCCAGCCCTGAAAGGCCCCAGCGAAAAGGTGGGTGACCGCCAAAGGCTCCACAAACGGTGGCTGGGGATACACCCACAGGGGGGTTTGCAGCTCCACGCGAGCCTCCCTGGGCATAGTTCCGGGCTCAAGCCACACCTCCCTGGCCCTGAAGTGGGCGAAGGGCCGATTGAGGAGGGGCTGGAACTCCTGTGGTGCACGGAGCTCGAACTCAAAACACATGCGGCACTCTCGCGGGGTAGCATGAAGGTCAGGTGGGAGCCCCGTTGAGAACAGAGCACAACGCCAAACAGACGGGGCAATCATGGCCACGACCCGAAAGTGCAGATTGGCAGCACCCCTCCATGCCAGAGGGTCAGAGTCCTGGAAGAAAGGACACTCGGAGAGGAGAGCATCCAGGGCACCGATGGCCTCAGCAGGCAAAGAACCAAGAACCCGCAGGACAGAGGGGTCACGCGACAGCATGGCAACCAAGGAGGCCACAGAAGGGCAACCAACGCCGAGCAACGCAAGACCAACGCACCACAGCCGAGGGGGCTGTGCAAGGCACAGACGGGGCTGCCAGGGATGAGTACCTGGCTTTGTTGACGCCCAACCGGCTGGGAGCAGCCTAGCGGGGCCCTGGGTGCGCCACTCCCTGAGCTGAATGGGTTTGGGCCAGACAGCTATAAGGGAACTCTTTTTTCTGTACTCTATTTTAGTAGGGGAACCTTCCCCCCCAAAAAAAGGGAGAGGGCACTACTGGGGGACCTAGCCATGGATCTCCATGTCTTTCCCTTAGCGCGGCAAACTGCATCAGCGCGTGACCATCTGAAGCATCTGCTTAATAAACACAGCGCATGCCCAATCGCTTCGAAATCCTGTGAGGAAATTATCTTGCACCTGGGTCGCGGGCTGTCTGGATTCAATCGGGCCGCAGCCTGGCCAGCAAGGCTCGATAGGGTAGGAAGCTTGCAGCGAAGGGAGTCTGGTTCGATTCCACCACGCAGCCAAGCGGCTCTGGGCCCATCTGGCAACAATTGATGTGGCCAAACTGCGAATGCAAAACCTTCCCGTGGAGGATCAGCAGCATCATGCAAGATGACTTGCCAGCTGCCCCTTCCCCTTCGGTGGGTAAATGCCAGCAACCCCCCAAATTGAATCCAACCAGTGTCTAAATACGGCGACATTTTTGTTGCTAACCACACAGCGACCGACGTGAGGCGAATCGCCTGAGCGCGCCTCCCAAGCGATGAGCGCCTCTCCAGTCTGCCCCAGGCTCTGGTGAAGCTCCTGTGGGTTCGGGAGGGACTCCCTCCCGAAAGCAAGAGGTTCAACGTAGGCTTCAGCTTGGCGGATTCATCATGATGCCAGCCAGGTGGCCATTTCAGATTTGCAGGGGTCAAAATGGGAACCATGAACCTAGCCGTTGTAGCTAACAAGGAAGACCAAGCTTGGCTTGTTCCCAATAGAGGCAGAGCGGCTTTGTGTCCGAGCCAACAACAATCCACGACTGGGGCCCCCGCCGCAAGCAGAAGATGCAGCGATGAGGCCTCCAAAGGTGGCGCCAGCTTGGCACCTGTGCGCATTGTGGAAGTGTGGGTCTTGAGGATCTTTGTGAGCATATTCCCCCTGCTGTAGGGGGGAGGGTGGTTGGGGGGCCCGCAATTCCATTTATCCAGTCTTCCCAGTACAAGGGGAAATGGAACCAGAAATGGATTTCCCGGGGTCACCCCCCTCCCCCAATTCCATTTTTAAGGGGTGGGGATGTAATTCAACTATGGTTGAATTGAGAGGTTCCCGAAGTAAAATTCATGGCCGATGAAGTCACATGACAAGGTGCAAAAGTATTAAGAAGTAAGGTGCCATTTGATGCGTGAATCCCATGAGTGTGTAGCATTTACCCAGGATCAACAGATTCAAAAAAGTCACTGTCCAGTCCATGTTGCCATGGCACCTGACGTTTCGGGGTCCTGGAAGTTCATTTTCTTTTAAGACGGACTCTCTGGCAGATTCCTGCCAGGAGGTTACTTTAGAATTTGGTTTGATGGCGTGCGATGCTCAAGCGCTCACCAGTTGATACTTTTGTGCCGGCACGTGGCCATATGGGTGTGCTTTTGTATGGTACCATTTTGAGGTGTGCTTTCTAAAAGAGCGGTACGCCGTGGGGGCGGTGTTGTTGCGTGTGTTTAGTATTTGTGTTGTTTGTTGAGCAAGCGAGCATCTGCTGCAACGCCTTGAAGTTTTGAGTCAGGTAGCCGAACTGTGGGCGTGATATGCGTGATCTTGGACACATCAGTTCTGGCCAGGCTCTATTTGGATGGCTCGCTGCGCGCGGTCAAGGTCCAAGTCACCGGGATCCATGTCAAACGCAATGTCAAAGAAGTGCTTGATGGAAGGCGTTGTGCTACCGAGAGGCTTCCAGGGCAGCTCAGCAGAGATAGGTCCAGGAGGCATGGGGCCAACGTGGGTGTGCTCCGGAAGATGAATGAGCGACTTGCAGGCGTCGGTGGCCCAGGGGTGAAGTTGGATGCATCAAAGGCAGCCGTGGATGTCTAAGATGTCTAGGATACACGTGAGATATCAGTAACCAGTTTGGAGGCGAATGCTGCTGATCATACTCTCTTGATTTGTTGCTGCTCTTTGCTTGTTTTTTGTTGGCTTTTGATATCTCCAAACCCCAAAATCCAGAAACGACTCGAGAAATTCAAAAATCAAACATACCAAAAATGAAGACCCCAAGTCTCAGGTATCTGGTCTCATACGAGGGGGTTAGGGTCTGCATCTTTGGTTTTGTTGACTTTCTCTAGGTTTCTTTGTTTGCTGGCTTCCCCAAACCCTGAAATCCAAAAAACATCGCGAAACCAACCGAAACAAACAAAGATGTCAGGTCTCATATGAGGGGATTAGGGTCCGCATTGTACTTGTTCGTGGTCTCGATGTTTTCAGGTTTTTGGCATCCAAAAATCCCAGACGCATCGAGCATAAAACAAAGATGCAAATGCAAACCCCAAGTCTCAGTGTCAGGTCTCACAGCAAAGGGTCAGGGTCTGCACATTTTTGCTTTTGTTTGTCCGCGTCTGTTTTCACGAGTTGGTTTCGTCTTTGACGCCCCAAACCCCAGAAACCAAAACGACTTGAGAAAACAACATGCAACAAACATACAAACTCCAAATCAGGGGTCAGTCTGTATCTTTGTTTTCATGTGTTTCGTTTAGTGTACTCGAGCTGTTTTGTGGCTTCTTGCCAAGCAAACAAAAAAATCGGCCCCATGGCATGCCTGCAACATGGCATGCCAAAAAGCAACAGCGCGAGTTGCTCACATGGTCTAACAAAATGTTTGTTAGCTGCTCGCTGACCGCTGAAACCCACGCCAGCACGGCCACTCGCCATGCGCAGCGCCGCGGCGCGCCTCTGCTGATTGCCCCGATGGCCTCGCTGCTGCGGCCTTCCTGCCGAAAAACATGACGAGGCCAGGTTGCCTCCGTCGAAACGATCAGATGCTAGGCCCTCCAGTAGAGAGGTTCGAATCAGTTGGTACCTTTTTCCTTTTCTTTTTTCCTTCCTTCTGTAGTCTATTTTAAGAAGGGAACCTTCCCAACCAAAAAAGGGAGAGAAGGGCACTACTGGGGGACCTAGGATGGGTTACCAAAACTCATGGTACCCCACAGCGCCTTCAAAAGCAGCTGTCCGTAGCCTCGAATCAGGCCCAAGTTGCCCGGGGCTGACTGGAGGGCCACCTGAAAAGATTGGCCGCGCCATGTGCAATCCCTGCTTGACAATCTTGGAACGCCTCCTTTTGTTTCCTTCAAAGAGATGCTTGATTGAAATCATCTCCCATTGGCCAACTCAGGCGCAAGCGCGGTACACCTCAAGGGCATCTTTGATGCGATCCTTCCTGACGTACATCTGAGCCTAGCAACGAGCAAGGCACATCCATGACAGCATCAATTTGCCACCAATACATGACTCTTTGTTCAATATGTTGAGCAGCTGCCATGCAACATGCTGGGTGCAATGCCAATGATCTGGCAACATCAGCATCAGGAGGGCCGTCACCATGATGAAAAGCCTGGCCGGCTGGTCAACAAGGAAGCCGCTAAGCACCTGAACTACTGATTCAGCGCACTCCTCATCAGCAGAAGTGTAGACCGGTGCATGTTAACATGAAACTTCCATGTAGTTCAACCAACTTCATTGCCATAGAAAACACTCGGCCCTAAATCTTATGGCACGCGTGCGAACAATAATGCCTCTTCTACCTGCGGCAAATTGTAAACCAAATGCGAGTGAGGAAGCCCTTCTATGCCTTTAATTCTCCTTGCGAGATCTGTGCTCTGGCACATTGATAAACCCCAGTCCTCCTCAAAGAACTTTAAAGACTCGTCGCGGCGGTCTATGACGAGGCCTGCCTGCACGTGGGGCTTGGGATCCCTCACATACGGAGATGCCCACCGATTTGCAAGTCCTGCAACAGTCACCCGCTTACTCCACCTCCAACTTCTGCCAAACAGCACGCGACCGAACGGCAACTGGATGATCTTAATCTGGCGCCTCGGCAATGTCACGAAGCAGTTGCCGTGAAACGCGTCCGCATTCGCGGGCCTGGGCATGCATAGACATGGCACTGAGGCAGCGGAACCGTGGTATCAAACATATCTTGTGGCGGGCGGTTTCCTGCTGCAACCGCTGCGAGGTGACGCCTCTGGTCGTGCGTTTCTCAAACACCCACCTTGGCCTGCGTGCTTTGCAAGCCCCTTGGAAAACGAGCGATGAGAAAGTGGGAGAAGGGCGGCGGCAGAGCTCAGAGCGACCTTCCTGCCACCAGCTGTGCATTGTTGAAGTGGACGGGCTGTTGCGGAGCCAAAGCGGATGCAGCATTTGGCAAAGCACCCAAAGGAGCCAGTCAACATGCGATGGCAACTGCCCATTGGGGATGGCTTGCAGCGCATGTGAAGCGCGTCTCCGAAGTCCTTGATGCATTGACAGTTTCGACCCAGCCGCCGCTGTGCCGACAGGTTGCCGCAGGAGAAAGAATGAATGCCTTGCCCGCAATCCCAACAAGACTCACAATACTGAATGTACCCTCTCAACATGACCCTGCAACGAATCAACTCGAATCATAGTCCATTCAGCTTCCCTCTACTTGGTTTGGATTGGTGGTTTGGCAAGAACCCGGGGTTCAAATTTCCAAACAACCAATCACAACCATGACAGGCAAAGGCTTCCGGGTTGATCCGGGTATCTGAGGTGCCCTGCGCAGCTCACAGCTTCTGAGAGCCAGGAGTGGCGCTCCACCTAAGGCATAAGGAAAAACATGGCGTGGGCGCGGCGAAAACCAAAGGAAGGTCGGAAACGAAGACCAACACAGGGGCAACACCCCGCCCAAGAAGAGCAACCATGAGGCAATGCGATGCATGAATCAGCTACACTGCCTGTCTGTTGCTGTCGATTTTCGTGGTCGGGATGTTTTGGCCTCGCGTATTCCGAGCCCAAACCAGGTGAAGCTAAATATGAAGTTATGCACAGCTTTTGGTCCCCACGGATCGCATTCCAATGGACACGAGCACATGTCAATACAAGTGATAAAGTGAATTGGAATTTCTCACACGCCCCTGAGATGCATGCCCTTTCATATTTTTAGGCCAGACTGCATCGGGAAGCCCGCGAACACTGAAACTTTTAGCTAGAGAGGACCCGAGCTCTTCGAAATCGCCATAGCAAACGGTGGCCGCTTGAGGTGAGGCACTGGGGAGCGACTGCCATCTGCCAGCTCAGTGAGAATGTCGACACCTCGGCAAGGCTGGCTCTGGAAAGCTTCAGCTAAGAGTAAGGACTCCCGCTCACCAACAAGCCGAGCCTAAACAAACCAGCTTTAACCTCGCAAGCACATCACCTTGAAGTGCCAAATGCATGAATCCCGATCAGCCATTCATCGCGATTCGCTTCCACTTTCCCGGCCCTCATTTTTTTTAAAAAAAATAATGTTGCTATAAAATCCAAAGTTGTCGGATGCTGATGAGGAGGCATTCGCTTGCTTTTCTTTGCAGGCTCAGGCTCGTGCAGCGTTGGGGATCCACCTGCCGCAAAATACGAAGGGTCTCCTGAGGCTGGAGCAACTGCTTGGAAGGATGAACGTTCAGCCGACAACTCCGACAAATAAAGGCCGCATGAGAATGGAACGTGAATCGCTAGCTATCCCATGCGCAGCCCCTTGGCCCATAACTGACCTACGGATCCATTCCTCAGCATGTCTCCGATAGTGCCATCTTGTCCGATCAGGTGCCTACAACAAGGACATTCCAGCAGTTCCTGCAAAACCGTGCAGTTGTCTGCATAGTTTTCTGTGGGTACACCGCCTTGGCAAGACGGACAGGGAACTTCTACTATCAAGCTTCACCATGCTTGGATGGTTGGGTTCAAGGAATGACGTGCTCCAGAAATTGCAAAAAACTTTCAAGCGCGGCCTGTCACGTCCTTCCCGCACCGACGGCTCACTTTGGCCAAATTGCAGTCTCCGGGATATGCTGGGCAAATCCCACTCTGCACTCTTTGTCCCACTGATACCCCGTTGTTGCGGCTTTTTACTCAAAACCTCCCCCCCCCCCAAACAAAAACAAAAACGCTCAGCCATTGTGGGCGCGCAACCCGGAGAAAAAAAACAACGACTCCACAGAAAACCAGTTCGGATATGATGTCTCCGGGATATGGTAGGCAAATCCGGCTATATGATTTTGCTTGGGAAACCACCCAAAAAAACCGTTCAGCCCATTTTGGGTCCGCCATCCGAAAGACGATCCCACAGAAAACCAAGGCACATCCAAGCTCAACCAATGAAATCCGGACCCAATAGCTGTGGCTGCTCTTGGGTCCTAAGCCCTCCCCCCCCTCCCCCCCCTCCCCCACCCAACAAGCAGAAAACTCGCCGCACACGAGTCGGCGGCGGCTTCGAATCGGTCGGTCCTGCCAGGGGCCCTCCATGGAGAGCTGCGCCCGCAGCAGCAGCTCCAAAGAGCTCGGGTCCCCCGGGCGACAGCTCAGTGCGGCCTCCGTCTCGCTTCGGCAGAATTTTTTGGGGCGAGAGGCAGGCGGGATGAGAATTGGAATGACCCCCCCCCCACAAAAAAAAAAACACAAAACAACCCGCAAACAAACGGAATGAGAAGTGGCATGACCCCAAGAAAAACCATCAGCGATGGTGTTTCCTTTAAGGGGACCAAAGCCTGCGTTCATTCAACCACATTCCCTACCTATCGCACCAGCGAGTCCTGCAGGGAATGAGGTTGGAGTGACCAAGTAAAGCTGCCCAAAGGGTGTTTGAAAGGGAATCCCAGGTTCATTCCCAACACCCTGCATCATTCACAACATTCCCTACTGAGCACCAGCGAGACTAGGGACCCGTTTTTACTAGCAAGATTAGCGAACACATTGGCTCCAAATGGAACATATTTGGCTGATGCAGGGGCATCGCCCAAGTTGAAACTTTGAAATATGAATAGTGAGGGTCAGCGATTTTGACCAAACATGTTCTCAATGCCACTTTAGAGGTATAGAAAGTTTGCTCGGTGATGAGTATGCGTAGCAAGATTCGCGTGAGATTCGAGCCATGCCCACAGTGCTGCCTCAAACCGAAGAAGACTAGCACATGGCATAGTTGCGAGCTAGCTCCTCTCAAACAGAGCTGGCTCTCCGGCTTGGAGAGAGTTGTGTAGAAATGCGACTTCCCGTTGACTGACTCAGGCGGCAACGAGACAAGCGTGACTGTCGCGAACAAGGCCCAAAACCGATTCGAGCCTCGGCGTGCTTTGCCACCATCGGCCACTTTCGAACATCCGAAAATCCTGGCAACGTTTTGGAGGGCAAACCAGCAAACCCGAGTGCAATGCGATACCGCCATTGATCTTCCTTCCGCCCTTCAAATCTTCTCACGCCAGCCCTCCTTGCGCGGCGAGAAAGCTCAAAGCATAGCCAAGGAAAATGTCCGGATCCAGGGAGACTGCCTGCAGCCCCAGCAAGAACCCCAGCCCCCACTCAAAAACTTCTCGACCGCTGATTTAATGGAAGGCACCCAAGAAAAGTGATGGATCACTACTCAAAAGGGACAGTCATCTGGGGTTGCCACTGGCAAAAATGCTCAAACTTATACCTGCAGTAGTAGCCCCTTTCTTGCACAAGCCATTTCAAAGCGGACTGGGCTGACTCCTGCATTTCACAGGTAAAAACCCAGGCAGCTACACGAACAGCACCCGCAACCTTGCTCAATTGGCCGATCAAGCCCCTGTGCAACCAAAAGCCACTTGATTGCTAACCGATTCCGTTTGGACAAAGTGCACAACTAGGTCCTCCAGTAGAGAGTTTAGAATAAGGGTGCCCTTTTGCTGTAGTCTATTTTAGTAGGGGAACCCTCGCTCAAAAAAGGGTACAAGGGCACTACTGGGGGACCTAGACCAGCGGCCAACTTGCTTTGAAGGGCCAACGCCTCTTGACAAACTGAAGGGTCCGGGCCTCTTGCACCGCGCGGTAGGCTTCCTTCTTGTCCCCAAGCGCCAGCTTGGCGCGCGCCAAGTAGACCCAAGCCTGGCGGAATGGAAAGGCGTGAAAGGCCTGAAGCCGGCGAGGACAAAAAGGACAGATCCACATCATCAGTTTTCCCCTAGTTGGTGGTTTGGATTGGTGATTTGGAGGTTAGGGAGGGGGTCCCCTTTTAACCTGGACAAGAACCAGGGGTCCAAATTCCAAACCACCAATCCAAACCACCAATCAAGGGGTATACATCATCTTTCGCCCTTTGCAACGCAAACACCGGTCTCCGCAAAAAGGAAAACAGATATTGTTCTGAACTTCAATTGATCATTTTGTGGGTGGGGATTCATGTCCACCAGTCACTTTCTAGGTGGTTCCATAATGATAATCATAGCCATGTCACATATTGCAAACATCTCTCCGACAGCGCTTCCGGAAAAGCCCTTCTTGCAGCACGCGCGTTGCGCTTGTTCTTGCCCAAGTGCTTCATTGCAATGTGCTCAGTGATGCTCAGCGGCCAGCGTGGATCGAACCCCGATCCTCCCTTCACCAACAGAACAGATCCCGACGCTTTCCAAGGTCCCAAACAAGTAATGCTGCTTGGCAAAGGGAGTAGTTTCTTGACTGCTCCTGAAAATGCGTGGGTATGCCTGCAGACTTGAACACTCTCACAGTGGAGGCTCCCAAATAACTTACCTGGGTCATTTGAAGAATCACTTCCTGGGTTCCTGCTCAATGAAGCATGCCTCGAATGACAACTCACTCCCTTATCTTCGCTGGGTCGAGGTGTCTATGGCAGCCCCGTCCACGTCGAGATTCGCGCCCAGCGTATCATGACACAATGACCAAAGCAAATCCTTGGACTATGGACCAACTGGCCCCATTGTTTTACCATTGTCAAAGTCACCTCCGAAGTAGTAGGTTAAAGGGAAACAACCAACCAATTTCTGACTTTGATGATCCCTAGAAACAGTCAACATAATAACCCCAAACCAATCTGTCCTCAGAACTGTTCGACATCACAGCCATACTGTACTGCGCGCCTGTGGATGGCTAGGCAAGCGGTCCCCCCCTCTTCCGTGCCTGGGAGTTGTTGGGCACACTGCGCGTGTACTCCACAACGTGGGGCAGCGCCTGACCATCTGATCGTTCACGTGCGCCTCCTGACCTATAGTGAATGCAAGGCCAGTCAATCGCCCAGCCCCGTTCTTCCATGAAAGAAGACATTCCTTCATAGACTCTGGTATCAAGTCACCAATGGCCAAGAGGCAACGGAAACAACCAGAGTTTCTGAGAGTGGGCTCATTATTTCACCCCTTTGGGGTTATCAAAATGAGAAAAAGCATGGTGGGTTGTTTCCCTCTACTTTACCTGTAATCTACCACTGGTGACTTTGACGGAAACATTCTTCTGGGGCCAGTCGGCTGCTCAGCCGCCATTTCGACCACAGCCTCCTCCCAGGCCGAAGGTCCTTGGCGCTCCGCGCGCAGGCAAAGGCCTCGGCACGGGCCGTCCCTGCAACGAATCCAAGCGATGGGTCAAGGTGCGTGAGCACGAAGTCTGAAAAAGAGCAAAAGAAGGGCTTGGAGTTCGACTTTGGGCTTTGTCAATTTGTACAACTGCAGAGTTAGGTTGATTACAGTGCCTCTTCCCCCATGTGCGGGAAAGTGGGGGCTTCAGGCTCTGACTCCTGCAGGGCATGGACAGCACATGGATCCGCATTGGCAAGTCATCTTACCGATGGGCAAACGGATGGGTCAACGCAAATGAGCTTCCGAACACAAAACTCAGCGATCTGGCTGACCCTAGGCACCTCATGGCTGTCTGAATGTCCCGTGAAGTCTCCCTTTATCTGCCCCTTGATGATGATGATGATGATGATGATGATGATGATGATGATGATGATGATGATGATGATGATGATGATGATGATGATGATGATAAAGTGCAGTACCCGAAAGCAGAGTTGCTGCACATCGACAGCCACCTTAGGTGGCAGCAATGGCCCTGAGGCCGAAATTACTCCATCTGCCCCTTTTACCGCCTTCACCAGTCTTTGGGCACAAGCCTTGCGTCTGCCAGTGGGCGCGCCGCAAGGCTGTTCAGCTTAGCTGCAGCTCTGTGTCTGAGAAATTCAACCACCACCCAAGACATCTTGAAATTCAGGTGCTGGACACCTACAATAATATCATACAGCGTACTGCGGACTGAAAGAAAGCTTCGTGTCGCAGAACGGTGCCTGCAGAAAGCTGACAACGCAAAGAGCGCAGGTTGCACGGTTGCCACAAACATAACACTTGCAGTTCCTGGAAAGCCCAATGGCTGTATCGGCACATCTCGGCACCTGTCCCTCAAGCGCCAGCTTTGCAGTTGAAATGACCTCAAGAAGCCACAGTCTGACTTAAGCTCGCATTTAAAGCAAAAGCCACACACTGTGAGCAGGCTGTGAGTGCAAAGCCAAAGCACAGCCTTTTGGCCTGCATGTGTTTGTGGCGACAACATAGGATGTGAGTGCTCACAAAGTCTAAACAACTTGCCTTGAAGGGTTGGCTTCCTGCTTGTTCAATATCTGTGACGGGTCAATCGCTGCCATGCTTTGGCTGCATTAATTTCTTCGCATTTGGCATATGGGGTGCGTCAGCACCTCAAGCAGCAACTCCGTCATTGGGAATCCGCTGCCTGCTGCGGCAACATGCTTTCTGTGCGGCCCCTGCACATAGTCAAATGTGCATGCAACTTCATGATTTTGCCGGCAACTCTTGATGAATTATCAACAGCGGTTGTGCAAAGGACAGAACAATTCGCGTCACATGCTGGCTCGGAAAAGGAAAAGGGCCGCGTTGCTGACCATCAAGGCACAGCTGCTCACTCGTCATCACTGTCGCTCACGCTGCTCAAGGAGGCTGAGTCACAATCCGTTTCACGAAGCATGCCTGACAGGCAGCAAATGCAGACAAACTGCCCAACCTGAGCCATGCAACTCGCGAGTGAACCGAAGTACCGAAAGGAGCTCCCAGGAGACAATCTGACGTGTTCCGTGCCATGTCTGCTTGAACTGTGTGGCCTTTGGACGAACAAACCCAAGGCTCGTGAAGTGGGAACCCGGGGTCTATGAACCAGGATCCACTCATCGTCTCATTTTGACCTCTGGCCATGGGTCAAAATCAAGGTTAGCCCCAGTCAACATCCCAATCCAACCACTCAAATAGGTTTTAAAATGGGTGGTGAATTCACCAATCCCAACCAAAATGGGATCCCAAAACGGTTTTGACAACCACGGCCATCTCACGCCCAGGTGCCGTCCATCTCGCACTGCTTGGCCTCGGGACTGGCAGTTTTTTGCCCGTGGCGGAGGGCGCCGGGATTGCATCCAAGCATCTTCCTTCAAAGGCCACATTTGGGGGGGTCAGTTTCGAATGCGGCAGCCAACCGGAACACAACTATCACAATTCAAGACCGTTTGCGGATTTGGCACGATGGATGCCCCTCCCACCGGCTAACATGGACGCGCACAAACCCCCGTTCCAAGGGGAAAGTCGTGTTTCCATAGGGGTCTGTGCACTTCCATGTTAATTGGTCGGTGGGACGGTGAATCATAGTTATCTGCCCGAGCTGCACGTGTGGAGTCTATAGCCTTAAAGGACGGGCCAGGCCGGAAATCGGGGTGAGGGATTGAGGCACTTCTACTTCCACACAACAATGCTCAAGTGTCCCAAGGGCAACCTCCTCTACCAATGATGATGTTAGGGGTGTTCAGGGGTAAGGACATTTTATCGGTTCCTCTGTCTCTTGCCCCAGCCAGCGCCACATGCAGCTTGAGGTGCCGCTCCGCACATCGTCCTTGGCCAACGACCATCTAATCCATGCCGTAGGCTCGCCAGCACCATAGGAATGTCTCAGAACCATTTTGAACAGGGATCCGGATGCATTATACACCTGAACATTGCCTTTTAAATGGTGGTTTCCCTTTATTTGAATGGAAAAAGCCATGTTTCAAATGGGCAAAATGTATCATTTAAGGAGCCCTGTTGAATAGCGTCTGAAAAAGACAAACAGAGAAGCCGTGCGTTAGCTTAGTCAGCTTGACGCATGCACACATCTGACCAATGTGGGAACAAACTAAGGCAAAATTCGAAAAGCCAACATATTTTTCATAAAACACACAGACACCCGTCAAGCAAATCCATGGATTCACTTGTGGTGACAAGCTATGACAAGCTCCAGCAACAACTTTATCATTTGGGACAAGCGGCCACATATTTTGATAGCGTCCAGTGTAGTCCTCCTCGTGGGTTACAATCTTTGGCACCACCTGCAACTCCAAGGCATCACCAACTGTTTAGACCAAGTGAACCATCGCATAAACTTCTCCAGCCACATGAGATCCCTTGCGGGCCTGAATCAAGTACAATGATCATTTACCATTGTTGCCAGCAAAGAGAAAACGTATGCGCGGGGAGACACCTGTGATCTGCCAACAATACTGACCCGCGCATGCTACGCACGAATGTCAAGTGTTGCCAAACGACTGGGTGACAAAATGTGAACAGCCATCGCTCTTTCATTTCTACCCAAGTGACTGCCAAGTCCGGTCTTCCGGGGGGTCGAGCGGTGAGGAGCCTGCATGGGAAGACGCTCCGCGATGGTGATGTAGTGAAAAGGGCGCCTCACGACTCAGCCAGCGAACAACGAGTTTGACTTGACTTGAACAATGCTGCCGACCCTCCACGGGCTCATGTTCCCCATGAAGCACTCAAGAGCAAATACCAGCAAACCCGACTGCCTAAAACATGCAGTCCTCATCCACCCTCTGCAAAGGCACATTTTGGCCGACTCACTCTAAACCACAGACAGCCCAAGCACGACAGGCTGCATACCACTGGCTCTCTGTGAGTCGCCCACCCGAGCCTGTCCCGCTTGTTGCCCGTGAGAGGTGCGGTAACAGTCTCGCCCCGGTAAATTACCTCAGGCAAGCGCCATAAGCGCATGTCAAAAGGACGAAGCCTGAACCAGTGCAGGTAAAGGCAGATATAAACGGAACCGTGAACGGAGCATGCGTACTTTGTGACCAAATGCACAATCTCTGTGCACTCTCAGCAGAGAACATCAGGTTCTCTACCCACCAAAAAGGATTGCAAAACCTTTCGGGAACAACTATCGGAAGACAGTTCGCAGAACGATTCCTGCAGGATGGGCCATTGGCCTTTTTCCAGTGCATACATTAACTCAACAGCTGCTCTCCAGCAGCAGGTGCCACCAAGGGTACCAAAAAGCGTCTGGCCAAGTTGCATTTTTCAATGCGGCGCTGGGGATCATGCCTACGGCCATCCCGAAAGCAAATCGATTACTGAAAGAGGCAAGGCCGGCACAAAGTGATCAAGTTCAGTTGCATCCTGTTCCACAGTGTTTCCGTCTGGCACTGTTCTCCGGGCTTTGTAATTAGGAAACATGTCTGGATCCAGCCCGGCGCAACCTTCACGACCTGAGTGCTTTTTGCATCCCGAGCCTGCTTGCTTGGCCACATTCTGAACCTCAATCGCCTCTTCGAGCCAAAGGTTGCAAAAGACCGCAATCTGACCCGAGCTTGAAAAGTTGTTGTACAGAACCTTCTGCCACAGGAAGTAGTACAGCTGGTACAGTTCCCCAAAGTCCTCAGCTTCGGCACGTGGCAAGAAAAAGAAGCACGCCCCGCTGGCGCACGAATTTGCCCAACCTTGTTCTCAGCTTCCCGCACGACGATCTTAGGGCCAAACCACGGTTCCCGATGCGCCAATATCAAGAACCATCAGTAAGCACAGTGTACCACAAATGATTGTGGTACATTCCCACCAACATGGCCCCTGACAGGGGGGTTCCTACAAGAGGACAAAATTAGTTTTCAACCCTCCCGCAGATGCTACTGTGGATGCACGAAATCCATTTCGCACCACCCAAGAAACCCCGGAATCATGATTGCCCCGACCACCTAAGAGACCCTGGTTTCGGATGAATCCCCTGTAAATACCAAGCATCAATGGCTTCCCATGGTTCTCAAGCGGCAGAATTTCGTGCATCCAGCTTTGGCTCCCTTCTGGGGGCCCCGGCAGTGAGGAACCGCGAGCTGCAGTCTGGGTGCATGCCCAAGGTGAGCTGCGCCGCAGGCATCGGGGATCTTCCATCCTCCGGCGAGTGCGCTTGGAAGAACAACAGCATGTTGTTTGTGTTCTTCTTTTGTTTTAAGGCATATCTATGTCTATATATATATATGTATATATATATGTATATATATATATATGTATATATATATATATATATATCATATGAGACACATGTACATGTATGTATATATATATATATATGTATATCGATCTATACGCGCGTGTGGTTTATTTGAAAACACCCTTTCGGTCCGAAGGGAAACCAATAGGAAAACCGGAACCATTCTGGGGGTCTGCTCACCATTAGACTTTAGACACATACCCACATGGGTTCACTTGATTTTGGCCCCAGCACCGGCCCAAAAGAACAGACGCACTCGCTCCTGAGCGAAGCAGGCAACCAACGCACGAGAATCCAGAAGTATGGTCTTTGCGTGCAGGCTGTTAGGCAGCTCAACTGCACCGCCGTGGCTGATGCACCCGCCCGTCCTGAACCGCATATGTGATGAAGATCTGTGCATCAAAGCTTGGCTGGGCTTGACAGCCACTGTAAAAGTCTTGCACATCACTTACCTGAGCTGAGCCATCCACAGGTTTGAAGAGGGAAGGGGGGTGGATTCCCCCTGCAAG